CTACAGCGACGAATACAGCCAACGCCACTCCGTCGAAACACCCCACCTGGCATCACCTTTTTGCACCCGAGCGCCCTAACTAGAGCTTCCTCTTTCGGTACCACAACAGTGTTTGAAGGACTGCACTCTCAACAGCTCCGCTTTAGTAGCAACTGATGAAGAATGTAAAGCTGTTAACAACACAAATAATAAAAAACAAAGTGACTTTTTAGAGTTCTGTCAAGTCGTGCTGACTAGTGATTGTGTTCCTCAAATGAGCAACGTAAAGTTCGCCGCAAGAGTAGTGATACTACTACTTATATCGTACAAGCAGTATGTAACGCTAGTCAGGAATAAAATGTCTGGCGTCAGAAGGTCAAGAACATGGAAATGCAGGAACAATCAAGTATGAGACAGTTGACGGATATATGCAAACCGAACAATCATGTTTGAGACAATTGATTGGCATTTTTCAAATTAAGTGCTAACTGTAAGGTTCGCAAATTTTATTAAGATGTTCTGTAGTTTTGTGTTCAAATACATTCAATTTTCCCCACTTGTGTTCTTGTTCACCACACTATTAGTGTGTTATCAATCGATCCTCCATGTCTACACTTCCTTACTTACCTACGCCTATTACTCACAATGGAGCGTATGCCGCCGACCAGCATTCGCCAACCCACTCTGTCCTGGGCCTTCTTTTCTAGTTCCATCCAATTCTTGTTCATTTTTTTCGTGTCTATTTCCATTTCTCGGCGTAATCTGTTCTTTGGTCTTCCTCTTTTCCTTTGGCCTTGAGGATTCCATGTGAGAACTGACCTTGTGACTCACTTGTGTGCTTCTCTAGATGTGTGTCCTATCCATTTCCAGTGCTCCTTCCTGATTTCCTCCTCCACTGGGATCTGCTTTGTTCTCTGCCACAGTACGTTGTTGCTGATAGTGTCTGACCAACGGATTCGATGTATTTTGTGTAGACAACTGTTAATAAACACCTGTATCTTCTGGATGATGGCTTTCGTAGTTTTCCAAGTTTCGACCCCGTACAGTAGAACAGTCCTGACACTTGTATTGAAAATTATGACCTTAATGTTGGGTGACAATTTTTTGAATTCCGGATGTTCTTCAGTCGTAAATATGTTGCTCTCGCTTTGTCAATCAGCTCCTTCACATCTGCACCAGATCCAACATGTTCATCAGTGATGCTGCCCGAATATGTAAAGATTTTTACATCATCCAAATCTTCTCCGTCAAGTGTACTTTGATTGGTACATGTTGTGCTGTATCTGAGAATCTTGCTTCACCCTACTGCTGCTGAGGCTGCTGCTATACTTCTCCTGCATTTGTTGTTGCGTGTGCGGTAGAAGAGCCAGATCATCTGCGAAGTCTAGATCATCCAGCTGCATCCTACATGTCCACTGTATTTCATGCTTCGCTCCAGATTTTGACGTCTTCATGATCCAGTCGATCACCAGGAGAAAGAGAAAGGTTGAGAGTAAGCAACCTTGCCTGACACCGGTTTTTACTTCGAACAAGTTCTTCAACTGTCCTCCGTGTATGATGTTGCAGTTTAATCCATCATAGGAATTCGTATGATATTGACTATCTTCTGGAGCACGCCGTAGTGTCGAAGAAGTTTCCATAGTGTTGTTCTGTCCACGCTATCAAATGCTTTTTCGTAGTCAATGAACTTGATGTAGAGTGATGAATTCCATTCAATTGATTGTTCCACAATGATCCGTAGAGTTGTGATTTGGTCTGTACACGATCTATCCTTACGGAATCCTGCCTGTTGGTTTACACTTCCATTGACTTAAAAAGGAAAGTCAGACAGTGTGGTTGATAGCTTCTGTTTGTAACTTACGAATTCCAGTTATGTCTATGCATAGCAGATCAGATGAAGGTACGAAAATGTAATCGAGAAAAGAAGTGATTTAGTCGAACGAAGTTATTGATCACTTCGTAGTTACAGTTTGAAAAACCGATGATTGTTGTTACGATCAGTAAGAGTCGTAGACTACAGACTGATAGTAAAGTTGGCACGAAGAAGTTGTCTCTACAGTATAGCAAATATCGAGTGCTGTATATACGTTCCAGAATCGAACCAAAAATTATAGAAGAAAACGTAAGAAACCAAGAGTGTTACTTCTATCTCTTGTAAACGACATTGGTGCAAAATGCTTTCAGTGTTGAGATGAAGGCGATATTGTCAGTTTCGGTTTGAAAAAGATTCGGTCAACCACATAAGTTGTAATTCGCGCGAATGGCTGTGTCTTCAGACCACCAATTGAAATGGATATGATGATATGATTAGGATACATATTCGGGTGCCTTCTATTAGGGCGCATTCAGCATTCAGAATGGTTCAAATGGTTGTAGACGGAATAGAAGAAGCTTTCGCTTAACAGGCTTCCGTGTCTAGTAGCAGGGGATCACCAAATCCTCCAGGCAGGGACCTAGGTATGTTAATAATAAAAGAGGAAAAGAAATTGGTAAATCATAGTGTGATGCTGTCCTTGGTCCTTAAGAATAGGTCAAGTTACCTCTTGAAGGACTCCTGAGAAGTCGCTTGTACTAGCTCGACCGGCAGCGAATTCCAGATTTTGACAACTCTTGAGGAGTAGAAGTTGTGTCTACATTCCGTCTTGCTATGTTGTGTTTCTAGTTTCTGGGTGTTACCCCTTAGGTTATTATTCGAACTAAGCTTAAGTAGGTGTTTAAGAGGATGTCCAGAAGCGTTAAGAATACTACAAGCCATTAATAAATCACATCTAAGACGCTTATACTCTAATGGGTAAAGGTCTAGTGAATGGAGGCGTTCTTCGTAAGGTTTAGATTTGAGTCCTCGAACTGATTTCGTGGCTCGCCGTTGGATACGCTCCAAAGTGACCTTGTCCTTTAGGAGTGAGGGGGGGAAGTACTATATTTCCGTACTCTAAATGGGGACGGATGAAACTATTGAAGATCGTGTGGAAAGTTCGTCCGTCAAACTGTCCACAAATGCGCTTCAACGTTACCAGTGCAAGGTTTGCTCGGAAGGCATTTTTGTCACAGTTAGCGTAAGACTTCGAATCATGGGGCACCAGGACTCCTAAATCTTTTTCGACTTGGGATACTACTAGAGAGGAGTTTCCTAAGTTGTAACTGTAGCTTGCGACATGTCGCAGATGGACTACTTTACACTTTGAAGTGTTAAAGGTAAGTCCGTTATCGTCTGCCCAACCTCGAAGTCGCGTCAGATCCTCCTGATGTGCCTGTGTATCGTCTTGGTTGCGTATCTCTCTCCAAAGTTTCACGTCGTCGGCAAAAAGTAATAGGTCTGACGTTACCTGTTGAGGAAGATCATTTATGTAGATCAAGAAGAGAAGAGGCCCTAGTACTGAGCCCTGGGGGACCCCACTAGGACATTCCATAGCCTGAGATAAAGTGAAATTAACCCTTACCTTAAAGTGTCGATTTTTTAGGTATGAAGTAAGCCAATCGATTAGAGGTGGTCTGATACCTAGTCGTTTAAACTTATTGATGAGACATAAATGGTTAACCTTATCAAAAGCTTTTGAGAAATCAAGGTAAATGATATCAACCTCCCCCTTGTGATCAAGGATGCTTGTCCATCTGTCCACCGCAGTCAACAGGTGAGAACATCACGCTAAGCGGCGTTGCTAGGATTGAGACTGCTTCCCTCAGTATGGCAGAATGGACCATATCCGGGCCAGGAGAAGTGTCTAGTCTTAAATGCTGCAATTTCCGGAACACCAAGTCAGCGCTTAGGTCCACTTCGGAAAGTCCTATGGAATTGCAGATGAAACTGTCGTCAGTAAAGTTAATGTCAGCCGGTTGAAATGTTTGAGAGTAATGTGCCGCCAGAAGGCTAGCGGCGTCGCCATAATTGTTGGTCGGGCCGTTAAGACCTAGCAGTTGAGAAACTCCTGTTTTGGCTTGACGAAGAGAGGCTGCGTAACGGAATAGGCTTCTAGGGTTAGAGGCGAATTTGTCCATAAGCTTTGTTTGTTACCGAAGCCTGTCTTCTCTTATAGCCTTCGTGCATATGTTCCTGATATGTTTATATTGTCTATACGCTCCGTCGTTATCAGTTCGTTTGTATTCCGCCCAACAGTGCCTTTTGCGGCTTAGCAGGCGAAGGGTACGGTTCATGATTACTGTAGGTGGCTTGCAGCTTTTGGGAACCGTTTGAGGAACTGGATGGTTTGTAGCACATAAGAGCGTGCGCAGTAAGAAGTCCCAATGACCGTCCACATCGAGTTGAGGGTGAACATCTCAAACCACATGTTGTAGATAGTCATGTATAGCTGGCCCATTCAGCTGTTTAAAATTCCAACGCAAATTATTGTTGGGATACCTTAGCTTAGTTTTGATGACAAAACTGAAGGCTATGACGGCGTGATCGCTCCTTCACAGAGGAGCCAGGATTGAGAGGTTGTCAACTAGGAATTCTTCGTTTGTGAATACACAGTCTAAGCGCGATGGTGTCTGACTGTTTCTCCAACGAGTTGCCAACCTCACATTTTCATATAAGCCCAAGTCATCGATGAGGTTGAAGAACCGAGCTTCAATTGAGTTGTCGCCTCCAGTGTACGTGTGTTCGGCGAAGTTGATTCTAGGGAGATTAAAGTCCCCTAGAATCAGGATGTGTGTGAAACCGAGACGGGTAGAGCGGGATAGTCCTTCCAGCATACGACTATCGTACTCGATGTCGGCCGTTAGCCTCCTGTAAATGACTCCGACCAGACACCTCGAAGTACTTGACAATCTAATAGAGCACCATATGGATTTCTCAAGATTGTTAAACTCGAGGTTATGGACTTGGTGCACCTCCAAGCAAGAGCTTATGTATATGGCTACTCCACCCTCAATTCCTTTTTTATATGTCCGAGACTCACAGAACTACCTATTCTGAGGATGCATTTACCTCTGCAGGTTTCCTGTGCACTGCCCAAAAAGCAGAAAACTGTTCCCAGAATCTATACAAATTGTTTGTTGAAAATGCGTGGAATCGTGCAAGATATAAAGTGAAGGTTGACTTGAAGGTTAGGTTGCCAGAAGTGTCTTGATGGATGTATTCTGTATCGATGTAGCAGTTATTTTATCGACATTATTACCTTTAAAACCTCTGCGTATTCTTGCTTCACAGTCTCTTTTTGAAAGCATTGATGTGGAACCAGTATTTCTCAGTGTGATTTGTGAATACTGTCATATGAGTATGCTTATGAGTTGTTTTCCACTGAAAGGCCAAGGAAACAAAATGTACTTTCAATAAAAGGGTTCATCCTTACCATTTGTTGGTTCCTTACACGTCACTTAAAGTTTTTCCAAATACTACATAAAAGTTGGGGCCTTCTGCTTGGGAAATTTTGTGTGTAATATTTAGCTTCACTTAGTTCAATTGCCATTTGTGTATTTCTTCCTCAAAAACCACCTGAGCATAATGGAAAGCTTTTTGTTACGAAATGTAAACTGTTGCAGTTACTAATTAGTGCCTCATATGTTCCTTTTTTAATAACTATGTCAAATGGAGTTTTGTGAAGTAGATCGTTCATTAACTTTGTGGTCATGTTATCGTGATCCAACTTTTTTGTCGAACAGGTCCATGACTTGTGGTGTTCAGTTTTTTCGTAGACCGGCCACTAGACAGCTTCAATGTTTATGGGCAGAAAATAGTTTATATTGGCTACGATAAAACGGTGGAACCAATAATATATTTTATTCAGCTTCTGTGTTATTTATGCAGTTTATGTGTTAAAAGTATGTCGATCCCTTTTATTTGGTCTCGAGTTCATAGTATATGATGCATTCTGTAAATTCTACACGTTTTATTTCTCTTATTTACAATAATTCTGCTACTAAATAACGCCGATCTACATGTATAACTGCTAAGGTCATACCTACACTAAGAGCATGTTAGCCGTTTATTATATAAAATTACGAAACACCTGCGAAGTGGTTCAGTTTTTTGACACTGATGATATTCACTCCTTAAACTGGTTTGTGTTTGTTCCTGGAATATTACTAGACAAGAGTAGTGAGTGCATATCATCGTTCTGACTTTATGTAAGTTTACTGTAATAGCATTCATTGTGAACAAAATTACTTCTGATACCAGTATATTGTTGGCCTTTCTAAATTTTTTTTCTGTAGAATTTAGACGTATATTTATGGTAATTCTCGTTAAACCAAGTTAAGATAAGGTGATGATTTTTTCCAGAACTTATTTGGCTCTACAAAACATCTTTGAGTATGCAACCACCATGGAGGTAGACTTCACTTAGTAAAACGATCCAATGAGTCAGAGAGATTTGGCCGCTTTTCTTTTAAATTTTTGCAGGTTCTGAAGCATCTACGTATTTGCTAGTGCCCAGCCGTAATCATATTTACTGACCTTAAGGCCCCATATGAATCTATAAATCAACAGGTCCTATCAGGAACTTTCATTAAGAGGTGCATTAACGTACCAAAGGTCGCTAAATCGGACATTATTTGTCTCGCCGAAGTTCTATTTGATTTGTCATTTAAACTGATTACATCAACTGTTCTTCTGGGTTCAGTTTTAATACAGACATTTTAAAGATTTGTTTTCTGCCTAGAAACGTATAGGCTCAAAGTGAGAAGATAATAGTTCTTACACTGGGATTGCCTAAATAACAGTACATCAATGTTTGGGATGTTGTCCTTTATGATTAATTTTCGTGTTAGCTCCGTACTTGTTGAGACCTTACTGCCGAGGACGGATATCCGTGGGATAAGGCGAGATGTGCATTTTTACAGTCGACTTTTTCTAACCCCACCCCTCCTTGTGGGAAGGCAGCATCGCTGTTATGCTGGTTGTCTGAAGGAAACACCTAACTGCCGTCACACTTCTGTACAGTCAGCAGTACGACTTCACACTCAAACCTTGGTTTTGCTGCTTTTAGTCTTACCGCTCTTCAACCGACCTGTCGGGCATGGTGGGACCTTGAGAAACGACTGTTCCAGCCAGAATAGCTTAATCGATCCATCAAGATAGGCAAACCCGACCCCCGAATGCCCTGGTACGGCCGAGTGTGTGGGGAGGTCCGCTCCCCCTCTCGAAGTGCTCTCACATGGACACGGCCAGGGAAGTCCTATTCACTGCTTCAGTATCCTGAAGAAACAAATTGGTCACAGTCTACCATAGGACTGCATCTCCTCACGTCGCTCCGGGTGTGGCCCCCTAAGAAAACCACCTGCTTCGGTTTGGGCACCTGGACAGTATCACAGCCCTCACATAAATTAGATGAAATGTGTGTGGCGCATATGTATCTGGTGCCCCCTTATACCATGTGTTGGTCCACCACGTCAAGGTAGCAACGACGGTCGGGCTCAGAATCGATCACAATGGCGTAGGTGTATACACTCTCTATCTTCCCTTAAGCTAAGAGATTAAAATCGCTTCATATCTTTCTTGCTACTAACTAATTCTTTGTTCCTGTACTATGTCCTTATATGCAATCTTTCTTTTACATATTACCACCACTACTTCTATGAATCCGGTATTCATCTTGTTGTGCTAATGAGGTATGGAAACTTGGACCGATGCACATGTGTGCCTGATCCTTCGTTATAGCTGACTGACTGATTGATGTTGTCTTTTCTATATAAATCCAAGATATTGCTTCAAATCCGGTCTGCATCAGTAGCCAGTCAAAATACAACGGATTATTTGGTCATCCTGACCACTTAATTTACTTGTGAAGTCTCATAGGTTTTGGTGGGTCAATGGCAAGATAACGACATGGATACAAGAGCATTGTTAAGTGAAGGGAGGATGTTAGGCTATTAATCACATAGATACATACATAATTTTGATTGTAATCGGCCTTTGGAGATGATTGTTACGTTTTTGATGGAGTTTTGTTCTCTAAGCTGGATGATTTAGTCGTGGGGCTTTCATCGTTCTTCTGAACGACATCATCAGCACAAACTGCAGGTGGAATGAATGTTATTTATCACTTCTTTATATAATTCAATCATCTAATATCATAGATGTTTTTTTGTATGAACTTACTTACTCATTGCTCTTCGTCTAGTTTCCCAAATCAACTGCATCTGCGATAAACAAGTTATTTTAGTGAGCATGACATAATTATGAAGTACTTTTTGTGCTTGAAATCTTGTTCTATCGTTGGTGCTGTTTACTTTTAGAGCAACGTTAAAATGTCCAAATTTTAAAATATGTGATATCAGTTAGTCATAAACTTCATCATGCCTGTCGATTTATTTTGCCTTGTAGTTGTTATTAAGATATTTTATGTTAGATGATAAAAGAGCATATGTAGATGTCTTTTTCCTGTACGTCATATGGCTAATCCATTTGACGAAACAATATTAGAAGGATTTATATGTCCAAAATGTATGGTTACGTTTGGAACTCCTGATTTATTGAGTCAACATTTCAAAGTAGAACATCGAAGTATCAATATCCCAGAAAATGGAGGTTTGAGTTATTCTTACCTTGATAGCTGTTGGTAGAATGCTTATCTGTAACTAATCCTGTACTCAAGACACAAGCAGATCCAAATACCTCAACTGCGTTTTACGATCGAAAGAATGAAATTCAATCAATTGGTAAGCTTTTTAAATATTCATTTTAGGTTACAGGCGTTTATCAGTCTCTGACGTCGAAATTTATACAGTTGCGGAAAAACCATGTTAATCGCAGTTCATTAGAAACAAACCGTTTGTTAATACGTTTGGAAAAATTAATTGACGTAGCAGAAACACATGAAAGTGACCGAAAAGGTAAACACTTCACGATGAATTTATTTATTTTCAGTATTTGAACAAGCCATTGTACCGTGGATTGATGCAAAGGTAGACCTTTGTCCATGCTGTGGTAAGGGATTTGGTTTAGGCGCTGAAATAGCTTTCCCAGATGAAGATGACGTGTACTTGAACTCCACAGAAAACAATGCAAGCATTTCTAGGTTTTGGCCTAACAAAATTAGTGTCACTCGTTTAACAAACGCTATTCTGGACTATAATCCTGTATACCGCAGGCGACATCATTGTCGTTTATGTGGATATGTTTTGTGTGCCGACTGCAGTTATTTTATTTCTATACATAATGCTCGTGGTCTTCTACATGCTCTTAACGGACAAGATTTATATCTTTTTCCGGTTCCTTCGAATGCATCTGATACTAATGATCATCCAAATTACTTACTGGAATCAGAAGTTATTTTTCGAGAAGGAAATATTTCTACCTCCCAAAACGGCAAGTGATTTCGATTTGACTTTAGTTTTCAGTTAACTGATTTTCCGCATAGCAAGTTATTAGTTCTTGTTAGGTATGAATCATTTCCGGGAAGACATTGTTTTGATCGCTTCCCAGTACTTCAGGTCCAAAGTATAACCAAGCACATCTATGATAAATTCAACGTTTGGACTAAGTGATTGAAAGTTTCAGTACAAATGTATTTTAGTGAAATGCTTTTATTTAAAACAAGAGATACAATTGTGTTGTAAATATTTTCTAAATCTAAATATTTAGTGGGTATTTTATTATTCTGATACTTTATTGAACATGTTTATAGGACCATAAACGTTAACTTGGGATAAGAGACTGAACTTTACTGGAGTTTTCTGTATAATCTTCGTGCTAAGATCATTTGTATTAAATTTTTCAAGACTATTGACCATGAATTTGTGAATTTGAAGGCTCGGAATCCTGTTAGTTTTACTTACTCAGCCAGATCATGCGTATATACATTGGCTTGAATTCCGTAATCATCCCCAGAATTAAGCTCATTTATTTCGACAAACAATGGGTTAAAATGTGCTGTTTCTGAAGTTATTTCATATTTGATGTTTGTGTAGATAATTAGAAAAATAAGTAGGCATACGTCAAAAGCAAGTCCCCAACTTATAGGATTCTATAATAAACCAAAAGAATGCTGCGGCATAGTGATGGTCACTCACGAGATCGAATTATCGACGTAAACCCCCGAACGATTTGAGATAAAAAAACGAGACTACTGATGTGGTGTATGCTACGTATGCTTGCAGATATAAGTAGTATGTAACACCAGTCGGAGGGGAGTGTTTGTGAGCAGAAGGTTGACAATATTGCAATGAAGAGAAGAGAGATGGAAACTGAAGGCAATCAAGATAACATCAGTAATGAAGGAACAATGAAGCTTCTAAGTGATAATTCGAAGATGTGCAAATGGTGTACTTGATGTATGGTTTTCACACTACTTAACTACTATGTGACTATTCATTAATAATAAGCTGAGCTTCCTCACCTTAGTTCTTTGTTCACTATATTGGCCAGAAATATAGATTCCTATCTAACAAAATATACTTATATAGAAGTTGTTGACAAAATAAATATGACAAGACATCCTAAACACTTGTAGGATATCAGTTTTGAAGATCCTCCTGTTATATCCGGTGAAAATTAAAATACAGGTAAATTCCAAGGACTATTCATGGACTAATATTCTATAAATATTCTTATTGTATAACTACTCAACAATTACACTATGGATATTTATATTCCTTTTATGATAAGCTTTGTTTTGACCTATAATTTATTATTGTACGATTTACGGTTCTTAAGTCATGTTCAGTTTATTAACTACTGCTTCCCACATTCACAGCCACTTCTTGGGCTTATTTGTGTACAAATATTATTTCCTATTTTATGGTACGTTGCGGTCTATGTGATTGATATATAAACCAAGTATGCATGAAATAAACGATTCGATTCATATTCGGAAGCTGGTATTGTATTCTGGACTCAAGTGGAAGGGCTCGGAGGACATAGGACCAATAAGGACGCTAAACTGCCCACACTGGTTGAACGTCATTGGTTGGCCTAGTGTGAAGATTCGTATAAGTCGTACTCGGATTGGTAGATAAGTCGTGTGATAGAAAAGTCAGACATCCAAGGTCATAACACCTTCACTCTTTAGTGAATTGAGACGTTTCTCTTTATATCAGCGTCAACCTTTAATCTGAAAGATAAAGTTTTCAGTCAGATTTCTTGTATAGCACAGAGTGAAAAATTAAAATGGATCTATTCTAATATTTTCATTATAATCCCTGTCATGAACACCTGTAATGCTTCCTGAGAATACAAAATCAAGTAACGTAATATGCCGATCGTTTTCGTCGTATAATGTAAAATCGGTGACGATTAGAGTAAATTGTCAAATTTTCCTATCATCTAGGATCAGTCAGTCAGTCAACAACGTAGAACTTCGTACGCGCGTACATCAGTTCTAGTTACCATACAACATTAGCACAGAGAGATACAATTGTTGATTCAAATCCTATAATGGTAGAGGTAGAAATAGTATAAGCAGTAATCATAAAGATTAGGGTTTGAAGATGGTGCTAAAGGAGTATGACCCAGTGAAATAAATTTGGAAAGAGAAAAAAAGAGACAAGGAGAATTCAGAAGATTAGAATTTGGGAGGACACAAAGAGTGGATGTATCAGTGCCATTGCAAACGATTTTGAACCATGTCATTCAATATCTCAGATAAAGTCTCTAGGATAAATGTTCTGAATTTGTTTATTACTAGCTGCCAATTGCTCATCGGTTATTGACGGGTTCCATAAATAACTTTTCAGTTTCCTTTTTATTTTAGAATTATCATATCTTCATTATTCTGTTGTTTAGGTTATGAGTTGCGTATATGTCCTATTTGTATAAACATTTTGAAGAGGAAAATTAGTAGTTTGAAAACGTTACCAATCAATACCCCAATTATCCAAATGCATATAGTAAGTAACTCTGTGTTATGTTTTTCATGATGCAACGTTTATACTTGGAATAAGAGATATGATTAAGTACAGTAATCTCCCTATCAAGGTATTCCATCATTTGAATTCAGCCCAAACCATAACTTATTGTCTCAATTAAGAACAGGCTGTAATTAGTACTACTAAAAAACTCAACGAATTCAACACAAATCTCAAAAATAGGTTCCAAGCATTACAGGATCTATTGAAAGAAGAAGAGACTACTAAAGGGATCAGAAAACCACCAACTTCAACGTGTCATGAGGCGCTGGATCTCAAGAAGCATCATCATAAGCAATGGATTTCTATCGAAACCATGAACTAGATTCAAGAAAAGAAGAGCAAGAAGATAGCAATTAACAACAGCCGAACAAGAGTAGAGAAAGTCAAGGCACAGACCAAATACACCGGAGCAAACAAACAAGTGAAGAAAAGCATTAGAGCCGACAAGCAGAAATAATTGGAAGAGCTGGCAACGATAGCGGAAAAAGCTTCAAGAGGAGGAAATATGAGACAGCTGTATGATAAAACGAAGAAACTAGCAGGGAAATACAGTAAACCAGAGAGACCGGTCAAGAACAGAGAAGGCAAGATAATCACTGAGGTTCGAGAACGGAGGAACAGATGGGTGGAACCTTTTGAGGAATTCTTGAATAAACCAGCTCCATTGAATCCACCAAACATCGAAGCAACACACAGACCTTCTTATAGCTGTCACTCCACCAACGATCGAAAACAATCAGGATAGCCACCAGACAAATCAAGAGAGGGAAATCAACATGACCTGACAATATATCAGGTGAAGCTCTGAAATCACATATAGAAGTAACTGTAAACATGCTCCACGTTCTATTCAGGATGATTTGGGAGGATGATCAAGTGCCACGGACAGACTGGAAAGAAGGACACCTCATCAAGATACAAAAGAAAGGAGATTTGAGCAAGTGTGAAAAATACAGACGCATAACCTTACTAACAGTACCAGGAAAAGTTTTCAACAGTGTTGCTGAACCGGATGAAAGACAGTAGACGCCCAACTTCGAGATCAACAGGCCTAGTTCCGTAAGGATCGGTCGTGCACAAACCAAATTGTAACACTACGGATCATCGTTGGTTGTTCAACGATTATCCTTAGTGTTCCCTAAATGCCCTGGTACGGCCGAGAGTGGAGGGGGGCCGCCCTTCCTCTCCAAATGCACTCGCACGGCCACGCGTATACAGCCTTTGCCAAGGAAGTCCTACTCATTGTCTTCTTGTGGCGGAGGTGTTGTTTACGAAATTGAGAGGACAAAAAGTGAATATCCGGTGCTTTAACCGGGTCGGCGGACACGGAAGACCCACCTAGAGGAGTTGGAAAACCCTGATTCCAAACCAATGATGCACATGGGCCTCAGTATCCTGAGGAAACAAATGGAGTATGAACTAATTATTGGTCACCGGCTACCATGGGACTGCATCTCCTGACGTTGCTCTGCTGCCTTGTGGGTTAGGCCTTTAGGTCGAAGGCTCGGGGTGTGGTCCCCTAAGAAAACCATCTGCCTCGGTCTGGTCATCCGGGCAATATCATAGCTCTCATACAATTCAGATGAAATGACAATGATTATTGGAAGTACTGCCCTCACTCCTATTACAATTCGAACAACCCATACCCATTTGATTACATTCACTTTTATTTTTTTCTAATACGTCACTTATCTACCCTCTTCCATCTTCACTTTGCGTATTCTTACTTTTCAACTTATACAGCAGCTCGCTTCTGGTGGAAATTCTGTTCTATCTGAACGTTCTCAAGTCACTGACTGGTCGAAAATTGGATGCTACCACCGAATACGGATACTGAGACAGTTTTTCTGAGACCACGTGCACCATTCAAACTGGCTGCCTTCAACGTTCGCACACTAACGCAGATCGGGCAACAGATTGGGCTGGCTATGTCTTTAGAAAGTCTTAATATCGACGTTTGTTGTCTATCCGAAACCCGTGATCAAGACTTTTGTGAAGTACTATAAATTCACTCTCTGTCGCTTCAAAAGACTTGTTTCACGTGCGTTTATCCGGGGATTTTGTGGCACCTTCGTCTGGCCTTGATGGCGTTGTCGCACTTAGCACTAGAGCTGAGGCAGCATTAATTGATTGAAGCCCCATTAACAGTCGGTTATGTGCTGTTAGATTAGAAAGTTCTATTAAGGTGAGAAGAAACCTGCGTGAGAAACGATGTCTTTTCGCCATCTCCGCCTATCGTAGCCCGGATGCGATTGAGGATGAATTTTACCACCAGTTAACTGTTCTTCTCGATCAGACTGTCCTGCCCTTCATTGCCGGTGACGACTGATCCACCAAATGAGGCAGAAACCCTCAAGGAACTCCAAATCTTGAAGTGTTAAAAAAATCACCGGGCCCTGATTACCTACCTCCGGCTCTTTTTAAAGACTAGTAACTTTCGGGTTAAAGAACTGACTACGTTGTTTACGAAGTTCTGGAAGCTGGATAGTGTTCCAACATCATGGAACGAGTTGTTAGATGTCCCTATCTTTAAAAAGGGTTTACATTGTTTCTGTAGCAACTATCGGGTGAAAGAAAGACTGGCTCGCGAGGAGCAGGCTGGTTTTTTTGTTCCGATCGAGGATGTATTGATCATATCTTCACCCTCCGCCAAATGTTCAGTCAGTCAGTCAGTAACAACGTAGATTTTCGTACATACGTACATCAGTTCGAGTTGCCATACAACATTAGCACAGAGAGATACAATTGTTGATTCAAATCCCGTAGTGTTAGAGGTAGTAAGAGTATAAGCAGTAACCGGGAAGATTAGGGTTTGAAGATGTTGCTAAAGGAGTATAATCCAGTGAAATAAATTTGGAAAGAGAAAAAAGAAAGGAACATGAAGAATTCAGAAGATTAGAATTTGGGAGGACACAAAGAGTGTATGCACCTGCGCCATTGCAAACGATTTTGGGCCATGTCATTCAGGGTCTATAACCATCGGTTGCTATCATCTCGCGGTCCCCAATCAGGTAGTCTACACCTACCAACACGGCTCAGTCCACTTGTCAGTGACTTCATGGACTTGTGCCATGTTTTGGTCTGGCCGCCCCTAGATTTCTTCCAACCTACTCCTATACAACAAAACATCGCACGTTGGGGCAGTCGGTGGTTGGGCATACGTAACACATGTCCCCGCTATCTCAACTGACGAAGTTTTGCTACTTCATCAATTGATTTGCCATCCTTACCTAGTACCCGTTTCCTAACAACTGCATTAGTTACTCGGTGGTTTCACGATATACGAGCAATGTTTCGAAGACACCTATGATCAAATACTAGTAACCTACGAATATCCTCTACTTTTAATGGCCATGTTTCATTGCCATAAAGTAGGACGGAACGAACTGCTGCGCAGTAAACACGTCCTTTGGTTGATAGAGGGATATCTCGCCTTCGCCATAAATGACGCAAGTTGGTAAAAGCCAGTCGAGCCCTCTGTACCCGTGCTGAGACTTCGTCACACACTAGACCACAAGGGCTGATAAGACTTCCAAGATAAATGAAGCGGTCAACATGCTCAACTACTTCACACTCTATCATTAGTGTGGGTGTCAATGCAACCCAATCCTGAAGCAACATTTTGCATTTCGAGAGGGATAATCGCATCTCGAACATGCTTGCATTGTTGCTTATGGTGGTCAGAAATTTAGATGAGGAGTGTTATCTCTAAAAGCATGTCTACGATAAAGTTAAACAAGAATGGAGAGAGTAGACAACCCTGACGAACACCACTCGAGGTAATAAATTCTGATGACAGTTCGGCATAAGCTCTCACTCGTCCAATTGTGTTCGGGTAGAGAGTCTGTATAAGGTTAATGTACTTCTTTGATACTCCTTTCAATGACAAACACTGCCATAGAACCTCACGATCAGCAGAGTCGAATGCTGCTTTAAGGTCTAGAAATACTACGATTGTGGGGCGTCTGAATGTGTGTCTGTGTTCTAGGACCTGACGTAGTGTGAATATCTGGTCTATACAACCACGTCCAGGTCGAAAACCAGCCTGATTTTCTCTAGTCCGTTCTTCACGAGCTTTGGTTTGGCGCCGAAGTATTATTGTAGCTAATATTTTAAACACTATATTAGTCAAGCTGATTCCTCTATGATTGTCACAAGAGGACTTTTGTCCTTTCTTATAGACTGGCACAATCAGTGATTGGGACCAGTCAGGTGGGATTACGTCCAGTTCTCAAATTCTACCTATGACCTCAGCCAATCTCGCTGATAATACTGGACAGCCATCCTTAAAAATCTCAGGAGTAAACCTGTCAGGGCCTGATGCTCTCCCACGCTTCAGATTTCCTATAGCTTTTTCAACCTCGTAAAGAGTTGGAGGACCTACATTAACTTGACATTCAGGTCGACTGGAGATCGTGGGAAGTCGAAGTGTGGCTGAAGGCCAGTTGAACTGTTCCCTGAAGTGTTCTGCCCATCAATCCAATCTCCTGGATTGAGAAGGAATATGTCCATCTTTATCTGAGATTGTTTCTCTAATAGTTGGGCTCCTAATGCCGGTTTCCATAACAAGTCCGAACAGTTGTCTGCTGTTACCTATTGCCACTGCCTTCTCCATCATTCTTGCTTTCGCTACCCACTACTGTTCGCGATCATTGAGTAGGCTTCTTATGAGCCTGCGCTTAATCGGACTCCGCTCTTTGTTATGTTTAGAGCTAGATGTTAGATGTTGTAACGGGTGTGACTGCAGGTTTTAGATACGCAGCGTTATTTATCGATCGATTCGGTGACAGTGGACACGTAAACATGTAAGGACGTCCTAGTGCCCTGATTGGCCCTGCTCCGCTGTCTGTCCTAGCCAGTTGAGTCAAAAAACACAAATCACAGCCTCGGAGTTATGAATCATTGTATTTCAAACATACTCTATTTATATACCAAGCAAACAAACCACATCGTACCATAAAATAGGAAACAACATTTGTACAATATTTAACAAGTGAAATAAACATCGACCAATAAGAAATGTACATTTAAGGTTCAAGGACACCATTGGACTTAACATGATAATTATTGGTCTCTTTTTCCGACTATCCTAACATTAGAACACTGTCTTATTTATCAAAGGGCAACAATCGTAGTATTTCTTGACATCAGGGCTACCTTTGATTATTTGGACAGGACTGTTCTCTGGGATTGTCTATCAGAGAAGTGCGTGCGTGAGAAGTTTATTAACACCCCAAAAGTTCTATATACAAATACCTCAGGCAGAGTGAGGGCATAAAACTACCTTTCTCCATTGTTCCATCCAAGCAGTGGTGTTAGACAGTGTTACCCAATCTCACCATTCCTCTTCAACTTTGCCATCTATGACATTCTGGAAACAGCTCTGGTGGACGTAAGTAATGGCAGTGTAGATCTGTTGCCTGGAGAAAGACTTCTCGATCTTGAGTATACGGATGATATTGTCTTACTGTGCGATAATGCCCAAACCATACAACCCATACTTAAGCGGTTGGCAACCAATGTCCGTAGGTACGGTATGTGCTTCGCACCTTCGAAGTGCAAAGTACTTCTACAAGACTGGCAGGATTCTAATCCTGTACTCACCGTGGGTGGTGAGCAGATAGGAGTAGTCGAGAAGTTCGTGTATCTAGGTAGCTGCATAAGTGCTGGTGGTGGCGTGAGTGATGAGGTTGATTCACGTATAGTGAAAGTCAGAGTGGCTTATGCCAATCTGGGCCACCTTTGGCGCCTTCGTGATGTCAGTTTGGCTGTAAAAGGTCGGATCTACAACGCGTTGGTGAGAACAGTTTTGCTCCATACTTGTGAAACCTGGCCTCTCCGAGTTGAGGACGTTAGACGACTCTCTGTGTTCGATCATCGCTGTCTCGGAAGGATTGCTGACATTCAGTGGCAACACCATGTCAGTAATGCAGAGGTTCGGCACCGTGTGTTCGGGCACAGAGACGATAATGCAATCGGTGTCACCATCTTGAAACACCGACTTCGGTGACTTGGACATGTTCTACGAATGTCGTTCCAGAGAATTCCATGTCGTGTATTATTTGTCGATGCTGGGACTGGTTGGAAAAAGCGGAGAGGTGGTTAGTGTATGACATGGTGTCGTGGTATGAAAGAAAGCTGCAAAGGGCTGGCTTCTGTTGGTCCTTCACGACTCCCTGGCTGGGGTACGAGAGATGGTGCAACACAGTGGCTAGAGACGTTATCAGATATGGCTCAGAATAGAAGCCAGTGGCGATCCTTCTGTGACGTTTTTTTTTACTTTTTTCATAAAAAGTGGTTGTAACTCCCTTAACTGGAAGGATTGTTTCTGCTTGTACCTTTCCGCTACCCCCATTATTATTATTATTATTATTATTATTATTATTATTATTACTATTATTATTATTATTATTATTGTTTCACTACCATACACTGATTTGTGGTCGTTATTGTTCTTTTTCCTTCTTATACACGTCTTACATTCTTTTTCTCTTCCCATTCTCATTATTATTGTGTGGCGCATATATATATCTGGTGACCCCTTGTGCCAATATTTATGTGTTCAAATAATAATAATAATAATAATAATAATAATAATAATAATAATAATAATAAATAGTTGAACAGTCGTTTGAGTGGAACTCTTCAATATACGTCAACTTCACTGACTATGACCAAGCGTTTGGTAGTGTGGACAGGAGGACCTTATGGAAGCTTCTTCGACACTATGGTGTATCTAAGATAATTGTCAACATCATCCGGGAATCATAAGAAGAACTACACTGCAAAGTCGTGCATGGGCGACGGCTTACAACTACATTCCAAGTAAGGATCGGAGTCTTACCGTTCTTCAACCGACCTGTCTGATATGGTAGGACCTTGAGGAACGGTTGTCATAGCCAGTATAGCTCGTTTGCCTCATCATGATAGGCAAGCCCGACCACCACATCAAGGTAGCAACAACGGTCGGGAATCAATTAGAAGATTTGAACTTGACAGATGACCTGACCCTTCTATCTCATACACACGAACAAATGCAGATAAAGTCGACTAGTGTAGCAGCAGCCTCTGCATTAGTAGGCCTCAACATACACGAAGGAAAAAGCAAGATTCTCAAATACTGCACGGAGAACACCAAACTAATCACACTTGATGGAGAAGCTCTGGAAGGGGTGGAACCTTTCACGTACATGGGAAGCGTCATCGATGAACGTGGGGGATCTGATGCAGACGTTAAGTCGAGAATTCGCAAAGCAAGGGCAGCATCCCTACAATTGAAGAACATATGAAACTCAAAACAACTGTCAACCAATATCAAAGTCAGAATCTTCAATATGAACGTCAATACACTTCAACTATATATAACTGAAACTTGGAGAACTACTAAAACCGTCATCAATAAAGTAAAATTACTTATAAACAATTGTCTACACAAGATACTCAATGTCCTTTGACCGGATACCATCTGCAACAACCTACTGTGGCAGAGAACAAACCAGCTTTCAGTCCTAAGTATCGATATCAGTCTTTCTGATGCAGCTGAGATAGTTCAGTTTGAAAATAGCTATGTAAGAAGTTTTCAAGGTCTAATTTAAAACAGCTAATACCTTCGATAGGTTTAAATGATCCAACTGAGAAGAGGAAGATTATCGAAACTGTGATAGATTAGCGCAACTCATTTCGAACAGTCTGATCATATGTTAACTTCTTACGCTATTTTTATATGAGAAATGAGGGTCGACTAAACAATTTGAAAATTAAAAAAAGTGATTGAATACTCAGGAAAAATGTATCGTACGATCTACTCAGCCTTTGTAATTTTGTATCAAAGTTCGGGAAGAATACTTAGGTTCCGTTAAGCCTAAATGGTACGAAAGTGTTCCCTTTGTGTATTCAGAAACATTAAACCTACCCTGGTAATATCTAATATCCAGTGATATGATGATAATAATAATTGATGACATCTAGAAAACTTGTAATCATTTTTTCTCTATAGCATTACTTGTATCAGTCTATATTGGTTAATCGATGTATTCTAAGTTAGGTAAATGCGCTGTTATGGTTTACAACCACCTCAAACTGTTTGGGTATATGCCACAAATCCACGCTCACATTGTATAATATAGATTTATTTAGTGCAGAATAAACGTATAACAGTAGATTATGAATCTCTGATTTAGATTATAAACCATGAAGTTTGGCCATTGTTCAGAGTCACCTTGTACTAAGAATAAAAAGTGTTCACTATCAAGTGAGATTAGTGGATTTTTGAAGCACAGCTTGATTAGTCAAATATGGTGATACCTAAAATTTATGGAGCTTGCTAAGTTGAGAAATTCCGCAGACAAACGTTTCTCTTAAAGAACTATTGAAGCAATAGATCTTAGTCGTTTGCTTCCAAATGAACTAAATTATCAATACAGTGCTCTGTTTTTATTACTATACTACGAACTTTTATTACTGGATCATTTCACTAGGTTCTTGGTTTTCTCGATTACGTGTTTAACAATAGCCACAGAATTTACTGACCATGCTCTAAATAAGGTATGGTTCACGGACATTTGATGATGGCATAATATGAGATCAGTATTTACATGACATTCAATATAATAAAGACTAAATATGGTTTGCTTTGGTATAGTTTTTTGTTGTCAGTCGTCCCGCACCCGTTCTGTCTATTTCATTTAATTTTTACTAATTGTATTAGTACTGTTGACTCTGAACCGTTTCCAGCTAATAAAATGTATCCACTTTATTCTACATGACTTTATTATTTTTTCCTCATTAGAACTTAGTTAGTTACACACAGTTCCGCGGATATTTTTTGTTAATATTTGTTTTACTCTGCATCCAGGAATTCAAGGAATTAATGAAAAAAGTTTGTGAATGGATACCTTCCTATACCATTATTGCTGAGAGTCTAAAGTGAGATAAAAGTTTTACTTTCAATCTTAACTAACATTAAAACAGTGTTTGTTACTTGGCCTGTTACAGAAGCTTTTGTTTTTGTTTTATTTTTGTGGATTTCCTAAAACACTATGACGTAATTGTGTAACAAATTGAGAATATTTGTGTTAGGGTGTGGTGTGCTACCTATATCGACAGATATAAGTAACATCAGTGGAAAATGGAATGCCTGACAGCAGAAGGTTGAGAAGATTGAATAGAAGAGAACGGGAACACAGAGTGATTGGTATGGAAAGGAAGGGACAATAAACTCCGAGACAGGTGATGGACATTTTGCAAATGAAGTCCTGAACGTATGGTGTTCATATTTTACCAAATAACTGGTCGTTCCAGCCTGTGTTCTCGTTCGTAGCAAGGGTATCAGTTTAACATTCGATGAGCGTCTAATATTTGCTGCTGAGATATTGGATACAGTAGAGAAGTTAATTTGGATAAGTTTATGAACTTGTGACGGAGTAGAAGCTGTGAATCATTTATGTATACTAAAAACCGAAGGGACTTACAATAACTTGTTGTGCAACGCTTTAGTAGTGTAATGATCGAGAACATAGGTCGGAACAACCGATGTATTTTAATACAAAGTATAGAGTATCTTGACAAAATATAAGAGCTATACACTGAATACTCCATTTGTATCATTTCTCCTTCACATTCTGTATGATTCTTCAAGTTCACAATTCCTTTCCATTTTCTATGTTATTTTCATCAACTCTATCTTCTTAGCCTTCTGCTGCCAGGGCTTCCACTTCCGATTAGTGTTACATATTACTTATGTCGACAGACATAAGTAGCTTACCACAGTGAGAGTTTTCCTTATGAATTTGATACTTAACGTCTGAGCTGGATAACCTCAGCTACTGTGTAGATTATCATTATCTCCAAATTATTGCTGGCAGTCTGTGGCAACACACTATCAGTAATGCTTAATCATAGTAAAAAATGATGATGTTCTACTATTTTGGGACACGTACTATGATAGCTTGGTTACTTTTTACTCTTGTTGTAGTGCCCTCTATACAACGCATTATTTGCCGACTCATAGTACTTGATTGGAAACGGGAAAGTGGTTAGTTTATAACATGATACTATGGAATGACTGATATTCAAATCGAATTAGCATCCGTTAGTTTGCTACGATTACCTGGATAGGATCTTAGAACTGTGTTTTGTTACTCTGCCAAATAAAGCTCAGAATAAAAGCTTGTGTAAGATCTGTTTTAATTCGTTATTTTATTCTCCATAGGCAGTATGGAGATTTGTGGAGATTGTAATATTTTCAAAGTTGAATTCGCGAGTCGATCTTAGCCAGACTAGCGTTGAAAACCTGAAAGCATTGGAGGGCCAATGGAGTTCAATCCGTGTCGGATGTGGGACAATTATCCACCTCAGGCAATGGGCGAAGGTTTGTGTAAGATCATGGATCGATTGAAGTTATACATTATTACCGTTTGACGCTGGCTAAGTAATCTAGAGGTTAAGCGTTCGCGCCTGAGATCGTGGATGCGCACTGCTCAGGAGTCCCATACTAGGGTGAAATGGCTGTCCATTGCTTTCAAGTCCTCATCAACAGCTAAATATCTCTTTTCATTGACTTAAATGTTTTGGTTATGTTGTGACTTAGATTATATCGTTTAATTTATACTATTCTAGTTTTATTTATTATATGAGTTTTCAAATTGTTTACAGCAGTCATTTCGTTTTGTATATTAAGTCTTTCTTAGCGCCCTATTGTATCAACGTTTTTTTGTCTTCGTAACAAATTTGATACCTGTACAGTTCTCAGACGATTTGCGAAATAGGAAGAATAATATCTGCAGTGAAAATGAAGTGGGAAATCACTAACTGGATAACCAGGCTTGAAAATTCTATCATTAGTGGTTACTTTCCCTATTCTTAAAGTTTCTTTATCGAATCAAGAAACAATCGAGTTAATAATCTTGCTTCCACAATTCTTTCTGTCCTGAATTAGGATAGTTACTTTGAGAATTTATAAATGTAATTAAATTAAAAGGTAGTTCACGTAATGACGTACGACCAGCTAGAAGGTGGATAACGTTTCTTTTTCTTTCATCGGCATACACTCTGCAAGTACAATAATGTGTTAGCTAAGGCATAATTAGAACTAATGGTGATTGTTAGAATATGAAGAAAGTGTAGAATAAAGCACCACACTGATTTAATGAGGTCAGATACTTGGGTGTTTCCTTTAGCAATTTGGTGTATCTCTTCGACTATGAGGCATTTGACAGCATGGATAGGAAAACATTGTCAACATCATCCGGAACTCATACTACGAACTACACTTCAAAGTCGTGCATGGAGGACAGCTGACAAATGTATTCCAAGTGAGGACCGGATTCAGATAAGACTGCTTACTAGAAGTGAAGTGTTTGAATTTCTCCACATATGGTCCACAGCTTGTCCTGTAGACCTTGACGTTGATTGGATCTTGTTGACCTTAAACGAATATTGAAAAATTTAGTGGATTCATCCAACCACTCTACTAAATCCACCATACAATTCCTCGATCAGATTAAAGACATTCTGATCAACAACAACGAGCTGTTCATATCCTTCGATGTAACAGTCTTATTCACCTCAGTTGAACCAAGCTTAGCAAAGGAAACTCTATTCCTGCTTCCCGCAAAGTACACGAAGCTTCAAAGTCCAAGTTCTCTAGAACTCATCGATTTATGCTTAACAAAGTATTTTCGATTCAACAACAAAATCTACGAACAAACGAAGGGAACATAGATGGAATCACCAATATCAGGACTTACTGCAGAAGCAGTGATGCAGTGACTGGAAGCCTCTATCTTACCAGTGATCAAGCCAAAAAATTGGATTCATTATATGAACGACACATTCATCATCGTCAAACATCTACAAGCTGATCAATAACGTCTTCGATGACATCAAGTTTACAGTGAGACAAGAATCCGAACAACAAAGGACAATTTTTAGATGTATTAATCACCAGGATCGACATAGGAAAACTGGAGACACAAGTGTATAGGAAGCCGACCCACACAGATCAAATTCTCAACTACAGTAGAAACAACCGTAGGGCTCACAAAATCAACCAGGTACAAACTTTGTTCAAGAGGGCGGAGACACACTTGCAACTCAAAAAATAAAGAAAAGTTCTTGAAGACCATCTTTCAAAAGAACGGCTACCCATTCAACTTCATCGAAAAATACCAACCGCACGCATCATCAGAAACAAAGTCAAACACATAAACCAACAAACGGATCACTCAACCATACATAAAAGGTATATCAGAAACTACAACGAGATTGTTGAAACCTTTCAGGATAAGTGTTGCACACAAACCCACAAAATCACTACAATCAATCCTATGCAAACCAAAAGATGAAATGAAAAAAGGAGAAAAATCGAACATCATCTACAAAAGAAATTGTACTAAATGCAAAAATCAGTACAGCTGCCAAAACGGACGCCTTTTTCATTTAGCCTGCATGAACATCAATTAGCAGTCAAACGCCATGACATGTACTTACTAATATCAAAGCACGTGGACAACTGCGGACACACATTCGACTGGAAAAATGTGGAAATATTGGATGGAGGCAATGCTAAAACCACCAGAGAATTTTTAGAAGTTTGGCACTCAGGTCAATCAACAAGCACATTGAAATCGATCCAATTTATCAACCAATCAGGGAAATTATGTACAAACATAGGACCGAAAATCAAATCTATGGGAGATAAAATCAAAACAAAGTAAACAATGAAAAGTTTAAAGTCAACAAGAATCAGCTAACATCGAGGTTTATAGGACAAGCTGTGAACCATATGTGGAGAAATTCGAACACTTCACTTCTACCTGAGGTTTGTTCTGATGATGTTGTTCAGTAGAACGATAAAAGCTCCATGACCAAACCCTCTAGCTCAGAGAACAAAACTCCATCAAAATTAGGAAAAGACGTCGGAAATGGATAGGACACACATTACAGAAATCACTGGACTGCATCACGAGGCAACCGCCAATTTGGAATCGTGAAGGGGAACGGAGAAGGGGAGGGCAGAAATCGAAAGGCTGAATAGCAAATGGAAAAGAATTGCCAGGACAGAGTTGGATTGAGAATGTTGGTGTGATGGTCTCTACTCCTGGACGAGGGGTAACAGGCGTAAGTATCTCTTTGTTCTTGTTTGTAGTCACGAATTGCGAAGTCTGTTCACTAGCATATCAAATTAGTATTGTATCTAAATCGCTTACTCCTTTTTACTAATTATTTGTATGGATTTAATTACCACAAGAGGCTCAGTTTTCAATATTAATAGTGAATTCCTCATGAGAATTCTCAAAATGGTTTGTCATTTGCACACACACATTGGGATGAATATTATGTAGAAAACTCTTTTCAACATTTTTACCATTAACTAGCTCCGGGGAACAAAAATATACGCTAGAATCTGCTAGATCTATGCACTCCGATTTGTTGCAAGCATTACAAAAAATTGAGACACTCGGGTAAGCGTAATAATGTTACAGTATTTTTGTTCGGTGTCTATTAAAATTTATTTTCCATTCTTGATATATATATGGATGGATACGTACATTAGTTGAGTAGTTATCTTATGATCGAAATTATTGATATTAGTGTGAATTCCCTACTTTTGAACTCACATCTCCGAACTTTCAATATTTATGGCCGTTACTTCTATCTTTTAATGAATTTTAAGTCTGATCACTTTCAGCAAATGAATATTAGCAATGTAGATTATTATGTTAACTTTACATGTGGTCACAAGAGACGTAAAATCTGATATATACGTACATCGGTTCAAGTCCCTGCACCACATCAACAGAGCAAAATCAAATTGCCAACACAAACACTGCAGTGGTAGTAGTAACAATATTAACGGTAGTAGAGAAGGCTAGTCATAGACAATAAAATTCGAGAAGGAAAAATAAGTTCGCAGTAGGTAGCGTGCGCCTACTAAGTCTAACAGTCAATGACTTCATGGACGTATGCTAAGTTTTGATCTGGCCGTTCCTCGCTTTCTCCCAATCCAGCCGAAACTGCACGTCGAAGTAGGCAGTGGTCATGCTCAGGCAACACAATGTTATTTTATCGCTGTTAGATGTTTTGATTGAGGAAAAATACAAGTTGCTGTCGACTAAAATAAAGTTTATTTATGATTACGAAGCTGACTAATTAAGAGAAACATTTTACTCTACACGTACGGATAAAAGAGAAAATTAATGGTTTGTACTAGGGATTATACTGCTGGGACACTAGATAATACGATGAGTATAATCAATAAGACTTAACACTAGACAATGGGATCACGTGAATTCCGACCAACAATTGAGAACCAGATTTCCGGCCAGAACAAATTTAGAAGTCAATACAGTGATATCGACAGTGGAAAGAATTTACAAAATCATACGGTTGCTATACACTTGCTATAGTTGGAAGTCTCTTCATGCATTAGCCAATCATATCTTACTTTCACTGACACATCACACGCTTTGAGGGATCCACTAATACGATTAAGTCCCTAAACCATACTTTATAGTAAGGATTTTGAAACCATAATTTTCTGTTGAATTGTCTAGTAAAGAGTCGAAATATTTTTCTTGTCTGTAATAAAACCTGAGACACTATCTGATTTCAGACGACAGTTTGCAAAATACAGTGAACCGAATTCAGAACTTTATGTCAACAGAGTAGTGGCGCGCTTGACATCAGCAGTTTATCGAAGGGCGAGACATTTTGTCCAAAATTATCTCCCACCTTTGCAAACTCTTCCTACACTCAGACAATATGATAACCTTACTTCACAACGCAAGGCTGAATTGGCAGTTAGATGGTCTGAGGAAGACAAAGCTCTTGCAGAAGTAAGTTGTACTGTATCACATTAAAGGTGTAACTGATTTCGATAAGCTTGAAACATAGCTGTGTAGACCGAAAACTTCATGAACTGTAAGCTTCTGCTAACTACTGTGTAGTTTTATTAAACAATTAACTTCTAAACCTCCTCTTTTGTATCAGACGATTGTTTTCATTGGGTTCAAACATTTTGATCGTAATTCTGCAATCTCTTGCTTTTGCACAATCCTCCAAAAAGCCAGATAATTCACTACATGAATTTATCTATAATACAACGCTTGGAATTTCTTAAAGCTTTTACTTGATTATCAGCCGTGTACCCCCTCCATCTATTATTTATTTTTACTTTTTTCAGCTGATGGAGCGAGTATCAGGTAAACAAAACTTTGCAAACATGGATCCAGCCATTAATCCTACTGCCAAAATATGGCAAAGGTTTTCCCAACTACCTACTTCGATGCCCAACACTTATGAGAAACACCAAGGAAAGAAAACTAAAATAGAGTACTTAAGTGGTATAGCGAATAAGATGGATCACGTTGCTGGACAACTGATGACTGCACACAAAGAAGGTCGACTGCGAACTGCAGAAGAGCTGGCACAAAAACTCAACGAACTCGAACAAGAATTTCAAAATATCAGTTCTAGCCTTAACGACAGTGAACTCCCAAAATAGCTGTACATGTTGACAAAGCATTCAAAATGGCACAATAAAACAAACATTTGAAAATCTGATTGATTTATTATACTTCAAAAATTCAAATGTTTTCTCATTTACAATAATAGGGAAGACTTATTTGATTGAGATATACAGGAAATTATACAAAGCCAAAACATTTTGTTCCAATCGCCTGTAAAAGTTTGTCACGCAATATGTGCCTTGATGAATATAGTGGTAAGTAAAGACGTGAAATACAAGTGTTAGCAGATGGAAGATGATGGTCGTCGGGTGGCTTGATTGTGATTGAAGGCATAGGCTGAAATCCTTGAGCACTGGCAGGAAGGGTTGGACTTGATGTCCAGAAGTACAACTATAAACAGATCACAAAAAATGAAGATCATTAATATATAGCGAGATAGTAGTACAAATATCAGTGTTCTAATTGTTCAGCTCAAGATTGCTCACAAAGGTCAGTAATAGGACAGTAACACTGACTTTCAGGTTATTTGCCCTACCCGCACGTATTATCTTCTGTGTAACAACGAAAGTTTGGCCTATCGCTCATGCTTTCTGATATTCGTGTAGTTTTGAATAAATTAAACATGGTAATAATATTATGACGGATAAGTAGTAGGATACAGTGACTAGCATAAAAACCAAAGGGCCTGGTACGGCCGAAGGGGAGGAGAGTCCGCTCCTCCTCTTCAAATGCTCTCACATAGCCATGTGTATATAGCCACAGCCAGTGAAGTCCTACTCACTGCCTCATTGTAGCGAGGGTGTTGTCTACGAAATTGAGAGGACGAAAAGTGAATATCCGGTGCTTTAACTGGGTCGGCGGACACGGAGGACCCACCTAGAGGAGTTGGAAAACCCTGATTCCAAACCAATGGTGCATATGGACTCCAGAGTTCTGGGGAAATAAGTGGAGTATGAACCAATTATTGGTCAACGGCTAACATGGGACTGCATTACCTGACGTTGCTCCACTGCCTTGTGGATCAGACCTTTAGGCCGAAGGCTTCGCGTGTGACCCCCTAAGAAAACCACCTGCTACGCTTCGGTCTGGGCACCCGAGCAGTAACACAGCCCACACACAGATCAAGTGACTTGTGTGGTGCATATGTATTCGGTGTTCATTTGTACTAATATTTATGTGCTCAAATAAATAAATAATTAGAAAGATAGTTCACAAAATCTGTTCTTACTAAATCTTGACGTTGTTTCATATCCATACTGCGAACTGTACACCAAAACCACTTTTTCAAGCGATTTACCAAATTTGTGTTATCACAGCTTTTCGTGACATCTACATTTGATCCTGTACCTGTTTCATCTACGAAAGTTGTATATCCACATAGTACATCAACATCTATATCTCCAGTTCCGTTTAAAAGTAAACGCAAATCTTCAGCAGTCAGCCCATCCAAAGCATTTCGAGGTAGAACATCAAACACACCTTGTCGGAGTTGCTGCACAAAGTCAGAAATGAATAACCAAATTTATTTAATGCGAGGTGAAACAAATATTTGGAAACAAGTTATGGAACTCAAAATTTTCTATCACATATTTGGCACGAGCACCGTGCTCAGCAATTTGGTTTTTTTCATGTGCAATATCACTCGTACAATTACCTAGTCACTACCAACAATAATTTCAAACACAGCTGACGTAACTATTGGGGATCCCGGCGTCCTAAAATAATATCAACCACATCACCTAATACATTCCCGAGGTTGCGATCTCTAGTTTCGACACCCACAAAAATTATCGGACACCAGACCATGTCACACCACTTAACTCTGATTCTTGGCACACTACACCCGCCATAATGCTGGCTTTATGGAGCACAGAACTTCAGGATCTGCTCCTACAAATATTTGTCGGCAACCGATACGGTTACTGACACAATCATAAACCCAATAGATCCCAATCCCCTCTATAGGTAAAAACATGTTTACCTTTAAACGTACCGGTAGTTCATCAAACCTCTTAGCCACATAACAAATTCAGACTTCGAACGAAAAACCTTTCCTATCGTGGATATTAACGGGTACCCGGCTCGAATGCAACTAGGTACAGATTCAGATTACGAAAGTCTTAAAAAGTGTTGAGTAACCTCCAAATCGAGACGGCTTAATATAACCCAAAATGTAAATTTGAACAAGCTAAACGACCTGAACGTCAGTGTCCGTGAGATGTTCATCCAATGGCTCATCCAGGAATACAAGTATACTTCGAACGTTTTAAGCGATCTAAGGTTAAAATATGGGTATTTGTTTGCAGTTTTGTGTTAACACAAATGAAACCCGAACTTATTAAAAGTTAAGGCGGTATGTGATCTAGGATACCATTATAAACTACAACCATTGTTTATTATTAATATATCATGGGACAGCCTAATTAACTTTACAGAAAACTATGATGAATCTATTTTCTGCAGTTTCATTAAACATTTGGGACAAAATGTAAAAACACTGGTAAAAATCTCACCTCCAGTGGTTCCTGAACTGCTGTTTTCATTTTGAATTCTGTGTACTTTTTAACAAATTCAAATACATTACTTTCATTAACCTCAACTTCATCTCCACCGGGGATCAAAGCATACAAATAGTCATTTGGTTGACGAACCGCGTCTGTGGATGACAGACCACCTTCTTCCAAGGCAGGAATAAGTGAGAAAGTTAGGTTGTAATCTTCTATGCTTCCCTGAGACTGAAATTTGAAGGAGAAGTATGCAAATACAAAGTTATTCAACGTTGAGATACATAGACCACAGAAAAGATATAACTGGTTTGACAAATGGGCTAGTAATTTTAATGAAGATTAAAGTTATCAAATTAAAATATCTATTTAGTGAGATGCAATAGTGAACACGAATCGAAATCACCTTTGAAAAGTCTTCGGATGTATGCAAAAGCAGCTGGCGCAACCCCTCAAAAGTAGTGGGGTCATAAAAGGCAAAATCATGCCAGTGAACCACGCGACCTAGGATGTATTTAAGTACAGGTCGACTGAAGTGCAAGGGACATGTTTCATTTGTCAGTAAACACAAACCAATTACACGGCCGATACCTCTACAATAAAGAAAAAAATTGAGAATCAGATAATACGTAAGTGTGAGATAAAGAGCGAAAAAATAATAAGAGAATAACCCACCTGTAAATAGAGTAGCGTGCAGCTAATTTAACCGAATCACATGTTTGATTTGAAGGTAAGTTTATTCCAGGAACAGCTCGTGGGAAGTAATAACCCTGTAAACCAGGTTGCCAGAAAAGAGGGACACGCTCAACATCCTCTGTAATTATTAACTCGGCGATTGTACTTGATGAAGAGATGTTGGATTGTTGGTTGACAGACGTAGCACCTGTAACAGTTAAAGCCACACCTTGCCAATTAACTAAGCGTTCAAGAACAGGCTGATTTAAACCAATTGAAGGTGTCCGTGGGCGCTCAACTCGGCTGAAAATGGGAAAAATTCAAACTAGTCATTGAGTCCTAACATAAATGTTTATTTCTTTAGTTTATTTAGTTACCGAAAACAAAATAATATCCACAAATCAAGATGGGCGGTAAATCCGCAGAAAATTTCGTTAATGTCGAAATTTGAATTTGGAGCAAGTGGAAACACATTTGACTAACTGAAAATGCAACATCTTTAAGTAGAAAACACAAACAACTTACTTCTGATCATTTGTATCCGACATTGTTATTAAGGCCCTTGCTTCATCAACACGATTACATAAAGCTTCTTCATTTGTTAATAAAACTGAGTGTTCTGATGACGGTAATTCAAGAAGCATTCCAGTGATTCGTGCAGTTAAGTGTTCATTCCTCACTAGGGATTGAATACGTGTAAACAGTCTACCTCCCACGGATCTTCCATTCGCTAGGTCATGCCTGGCACAGACAGGGTTATTACTTTCAGAAGACTGAATCGAGTTAGATGGTTCGTAATTGACTAGTAAAATATTTCTGCTGATATTATCAGATGGATCTTGAGTTCTGTTTGGACTCGATCCTAAGTTATAAAGAAGAGTTATATAACTGTAAGATAAACAATGTTTTGAAAATAAGCAACTTTAACACGTTAAAAACAATAACAGGAAGTGGAAACAGCACTTTATCTTACATGTTATTAATGTGTAGCATCTATCACTAAGGTACTAAGAGCTCGATAGATGTATAATTAATTTAAAGAATGAAATATCAGTAAAACATAATATCAAGGAATGTGATCCTGATAATAAACTGCTCGAGAAAAACAAGTAATAAAAATTGACGATGGGTGAGGTAGTGAGACAATGATTGATGTTAATCTGTACCTGATATTTCGCATTTTTTAAAATGATTAACTATCCGATAACTAGAGTTATTCGGATTTCAATATTGGCTCACGAGATTCGAGAACATATCTGCAACAAGAGGATGGTTTCTGTTGTTAAATATTGCTTTGTGTGTTTTCAAAATTTATTATTGATTAGAGTATTCTTTTCAGGACTTCCTAAAATTTTATTACCTTTTCATTTACTACTCGTGTACAAATAGTCCCAAAAGACTAATCTACTTTTATAGGTATCATTACCACGGTTTGACTTGATAATTTCGAATAAATTGAGCATTGGGTAAATTGTTATAAATAAATAATATATTTGTAATATCCCCATGAGTAGAAAAATTAGATTTTTTACTATTTAAGCTTAAATTAATTTTGATTTGGTTATTTATTTATTCTCTGAAGAAGTGGTTTGCACTAACTCACGAAAAGTCAGAAAATCTAATTTTTCTACTCATTGGAATATTACAAATATATTATTTATTTATAATCTACTTTGAGTACGAACTAGAGCAGCTTACAACAAACTAGACCATATTTGACCCCATTGTGATGTTAGTCTGGTTGTAAAAGGTTAAAAATTGTCTTGTCTTTTTAGCTGAAATGGGACGCTCACGGAACATTATTCTTGTTCAGTTACTAAATACTAATACGCCCCTTTCCTCTCCTATTTCTTCATAACTTTATTACTTCATTTGTATATCCCACCTCTGATGTCCCGTTGAATCAGAATTTGTATGATCATATAGATTAAACAACATGAAGTGTGAGATCGAATTCGTAAACACAAATTATCAACAGATATGTTAGCTATTAGTTGCAGACAATGTGTGGGGGCCAGACGACAGTTTTTACGGTAAGACAGGATATTAAAGTCAATATTTTTATGTTGTTGGCTTGTAGCATAATTTTATCTTCATGTCAGTAATGAAAAACTGGGTTAGATTATTGATTCGTTTATTTAAAACAGGTCTATTCGCCATTTCAGAAAAAGTACAAAAACTTAACTGGATTAGAAATTAAGTTCCAGGGCGGGAGTTCTAAAATTAAAATTTCGTAATGATCTGTTTGAACATTGAAAGGGTTTAACGATAGACATAATAATTGAGATTATTGTACGCCAACTAACCTGATGAAATATTCGTATTCGAGTTTAAAAGTTGTAATGAAGCACAAGAATCCAGGACTCTAGATGAGGGAACTTCTGTACCAGAGACATTTCCAACTGAAATATGAGAAATATTAGAAGTATCAGAATGCCTAGCTGGTGACGGGTTACGAGAGGTTGTTCGAGAATTAGAACCGGCTGGTGATAAATCAGATGAGGAGAATGCTGCCTGAGCTGCAGACGGATAAAATGGAGGAGCATTTGTAGATAGTCCTCCAGATCGTCGCCAAGCACTTGATCTCCCACGTGACCCAATTGTAAACGTATGCAGCCGAGGTTGAATTTGATATGGACAAAAGGAAATAGACGACTGAATGGTTGTTGGTGTAGTTAAAGGTACTGGTTGATGTCCACTTAGCCCATTGTTTAGTGAACTAGATAGTAAAGTCGGAGAAGGAGTATTGTTAGAGCTACTTGTTATAGATTGAGTAGACAGAAATATACTAGAAGTTGTTGATTGAACTAAGACTGCAGTTGGCCTATTTGCAGAATTGTTTGATTGAGAACGACTCAACACAGTATAATGACGATGGAAATTCGGTTGTTGATTACCTAGATAAATCGAAATGAAATTAAACATCAGCATCGAACCTTAAAAGATACTTTTCTACAAAATGTTTAGGCAAAGTTCTCAAGTGGAAAATAACTGACTCACCCAAAGAATTTGATGAATTATTTTGAAGAAGTAAATTCAAGTTAGGCAAGGGTTCTTGAGATAAGACTGCTTCTGAAAAAGCCGTAAAGAATGACCTAGCAACACCGCTACCTTCACCAGGTTCATCTTTAAAAGTTACTTTAATGCGTCGACATGACAGTATTGGTTGTTGTCCAGAAACGACTGAATTTGAGGTGACCGAAGTCGGAGTTACTGGACTAGCACCAAATAATGTCCCTAGTAACGGAGAATCCGTAGTAGTGCCCAGAAGAAGAGCAATAGCAACTTGGTTAGTATTTGCATTTTGACGCGTTGATGGTGAATCTCTTTGATGACTGCTCGAACTAGTATACTGTAGGGGAAAATTATTTGCACTATACAATGATCCGTTTGATGTACTTAATGGTGTCTGAGATTGACGTTTAGCGTATTCCATGTTCAGTAGTTTGATAGTGTTTAAAATCAATGGACCACGTTCCCGTTCAACCTGTCATTAAAGGAGAAAATGAACATAAAATCAACTAAACAATAACTAAAAGATGAATTATGCAAAATAACGATAAACGTTTGATGGCTGAGAGTAACACGGATAAACTTTAGTTTTGAAAGAAATATTGTGGGGTGGGGCTGACGATATTGAAGAAAACAAAGACAGAAAATTTTAGAATATAATAAGATTATGATCTGTAGCTCCAATATTTCATCATCAAAACCCTGAATCATAGTCTACTCCTTGGATGTGTCTACAGAGCTCCTGATAGTTCGAATAATGGGAATGATCTTATCATCAATGCATTCATACATGAAAGCAGTGACCACAAGATAGTAGAGAAACTAAAAAATAGCAGAATGATAAGAAAAATAAACTAAGTAAAATTACCTCCAAAACCAAATCCTTGCGAGACACATTACGCAAACGTTCCATTTGTTTCCGAAATCTACCTTCTTTTGCTGAAAATCCACCAAGTTCAAATATATAACTTCCGTTTTCAGCTCCTACATCAGGAGTGAAGTGACGTCCGAAAAATTCCAGAGCTGAGCACCACCGTGAAAGGAGTGTAGCAGAATGTCCAACGGAATCCAGGAACTTAGCCCCTGTCAACACTAAATGAAGAGTTCAAAAGGCTTAATTTTAGTAAAATTATATATATATATATATATATATATATATATATATATATATATATATATATATATATAATTAGATTATTTATAGTGATAGACACAAAAAATGTAACTTCGAAAGCACTTACATTGTTGTGTATCAGGGTTCAGAAACTCTGAATTATCGCTCTCGTTGATGAACGGAATTTCCGTGATATTACTACCACAGATTCTTTCCCCCCAAGTACTTGACATCGCATTCATGTGTATTGGAATATGATCATTCTTTCGGGTGCTGGAAACATGAGTTGCAGACATCATGGGTAAAAATCTGAGAAAACAGAAAGATCATTATTAAGGATAAAAGAATGCATAGCACGACATTAGGACACTATGTTTCAGTAAACTAGCTCAAGAACAAAACTAATCACTTACCGATCACATCCAAATAGTTCAGCTCTTCCAGAGGTGGGTTGTAACAATTGTGGTTGCAATGCCAAAGGTAAGGACTCTGATAACGGTGCATCTAGTAAATCAGGACCAAGACCTGATAAAGACAAAATGCTTTCTGAACGACGGAAAAATGGATCGTTCCGTTGAGTAACCGGGTTAGCTGTAAAAACTATGGTAGATTGAAGTAAAAAATCTGATGTGGGACTAATAACAATCAAATATGAATCATAATTTATATCGAAACACTGAATATTTGTGGTTAAATATCAACGACCACATCTTTCACATTACACAATGTCGTTAGTGTATGCATGTCACAAAATCCCAAAAACCTGAACAGATAAAATCATAAGACTAGATTTTATTCAGTTCAATGTATGCAATGCTCACGTTCACAAGTATTTTAGTATACGCCAGCTTGTCGCTGTAAATATTATTAATTAATTAATGACTACAAAAAATCAAGGATATAATTTAAATAATGCACAAACTGAAATATGAACTATAAGGATGCCCCAAACTTAGATGTGGTTAATAAGGAAAAGAGTACCTATAAACAATTTCATCGTTCGGTGACACAAACATTATACGGTGAAATCAAGCAGGAACCTGTACTACAGCTGTCAATATGTTATTTTCTTATTGCCTAAGTGTAAACATAGAGGAAAAAACATGATTAATTTATTTCAGCTCATATGAACCGCAGACAACTAAAGTATCAATTACAGCACAGAGCTCGCCTCCCATTCACAATCTTGTGGAACCCGTGAGGTGAATGGGGGATCCACTTGACTCGAGAACTGAGGCCCACACGCTGCTATATGCGTGATGAGTCAGTGTTAGCAATAGTCGACATAAGAATACTATAGAAAAGAAATTAAGTTGTCGATAATAACTAGCACACTGACGTAAGTACTTCTACTGACAACCTAATCTAGATAAATATAAAGAGAAATGTGACTATACAGTTCACTTTATTCAAAAAATATTCCCCGCGCAAAATTATTAAATAATTATATAAATAAGAAGGTAAATAAAAGTAGAAGGAAAATAGCTAAATATTGCATACCATTCTTGACATCTGGAGTTTTTTCATGAGACAATTGAGTGGTGCGAAGAACAGATGAGGTTGATGACTAAATGATGAGGAATTAAGAGAACAAGTATAATACAATGAACATTTTAAAAAGACTAAGAAATTTAACTTAAGCAAGAACAAATAATGTAGCAGAGTAATTTAAATTCATTGTATTTTGTGGTTTCTCATCAGCTGCATACAACATAAACATAATGATATTAATCACTAAAATCAGCTTTATATCATAATATCGGAAATGTTCTCATCAGCGCAGATTAATGCAGAACAGAAAAACAAGTATGAAAGAATTATAAGTGATATTTATTTGCTAAATAATATGAAAATTTATAGGTTGAATATAAGAACGCTACAGAATAAAACTAAAAACATAGAAACAAAGTTATTTAAGAATCAGATATTAATGTTATAAGTTATGTAACCCTTAAAGCAAATTTGACCGGGTACAGATCACATAAGAAGTAAGAAATAACCATTAGAGTCATGGGAATAATTATGTTTGTAGCCTGACTTTTAGTGATTAATATTATTGTATTTTGGTTGTAAGCAGCTGATGAGAAACCACAAAAAATAATGAATCTATTTTATTCTACTACGTCAGTTCTTCTTGCTATAATCAAATCAATCAGTAAAAAGATCATATGAAAGATTAAGAAAAATGAATACGTGTTAAATATTAAGAAAAATTATGATCACAATAAAAGATTTAATTTATTAATTATACATAGATAATAGACAAAAGAATTTAATATTAAAACGAAATGCATACCTCTGCAATTTCTTCAGTACACTCTTGCTGCACATCATTTAATTTGAAACGAACGGTCGGATCAGGTAACGTTGAATTTAACTGTCTTGTAATACCAGATGGCCAGGAAGATTCAAAAACACGGAAGAAGTATAACAATGCATCTAAAATATAGGCAAGATGTTTGTTCACTTGAGGATCAATAAAAGGTACGCTATCACCATGATCACCACCTGAGGTACGCATTATAGAAAATAAATAGGCCAAGAAGTCTTGTCGTTGCCCAAGAACCACTGCAACACTATCTATAGAACTATTAACAGTTATAGGGTCATTTGAGGACAATCGTGCATTAGTTGTTGTGGATGACGATGAAGTGTTGGCAACAGCAGTAGGTCTTCTAGAGTAAAAAGTTGAAGTATGTCCACGTCTGTTATTTGTTTCATTATTGACTTGTGAGGACTATATTAGACATTAATAAAGAGCAAATAAAATAACATTTAGAAAACGGGATTTACTAGTTAAAAAAACCTAACAGAATAAGGAATTATAAATGTTTTATTCAGACATTACACAGACTCAACAAAAAGCAACTGTATTCAATAATTAGAAATAACTCAACAAACAATTATCAAAAAATTCCCTACATATTGATTTATTATTGGAAGCTGTCTGTGAGAGGTGTAATGAAAATTAACTTGATTATCACTAATACTGTTTTCATTCGTTATATTTTGAACTATATTTCTTAGGTTTAGTTTGAAACTCCAATTGACATTATTTATTATTCCTATTTCTTTGTTCTTTTAGTCTATTTATTTTCTCTTGTTTCGTCGATATGAAGTATGCTGATTTGATGGGCCTTTTGTTCGATCTTTTTCTTAAATTCCAAGTTTTATTATCACGTACATAATAATAGTGAAAATACAATATTATCATCACCACAACATAAAAAACTCACCAAGGAAACCGGGATATCACGAACTGAGCTAACACCTGAAAATAAACAAAATAGAACGCATTCAGAATAGCTTTTAATGGTAAAGAATAATAGACCTACAAAGCACGATTATATCAAACAATAGCTAGGTTTTAGAAACGAAGAAAATTGAGAAAGTTACCATCTTGGTTCTCAGGAATTTTCGATTGACCTTTCAAAGCATTTTTGTTGGGGAAGTATGCATTCCAAGAAGCCGAAAAGCGCAATTGAGCCTCAAGATTATCCATGGCCATGGTTATCCATTGCCAAACTGGAATCAAAGCTGCACCAACAGATGCTACAAGTTGAACACAGTGCGAATCTGAACCCACTTTTATTGCATTAGCTCGACCACTTGCCAATGAAACAGCTGTTGTACACGACCTTATTAAACGACCTCGAATACCTGATGACTGTTCTGTAGAGCTTGAGTTCGGACGAGCAATAGAAGACAAGGTGTTACTTGGAGTTAATACAAGAGCATGAGGTTGATTGTTAGCTGACGTTGTAGAAGTAGCCACTATACTAGACGTGCAATATATGGGCAAACGGCGTTGCTGGTCATAAACAGTCAACGGAAGACCAATACTAGTAGGTACTGATGTACAACGCCGCAGGGGACCTGAAAAAGGACTAAATTCCCCTTGAATTTCAGAGAGAAGATCAGCAGTTACTCGCAAAAGACAAGCGAATGTACGACACAAGTATACCTGTGTTGTCATGATACACCCCACCTATAAAACAAAATAGAATAAGTAGTTAACACTTTAATATATTAATTCAAGAGGATTACTATGTAAAGATATAACAGTAATCAAAAGTAAAAACTAATTAGTATGATAACCTACATTTGTAGAAACAGCTGGAGTAGTGACAGAGCTTGTAGCGTTTGTGACAACAGTTTCACTAGATGCAGGTGTATTGCTTACATTTCCTGTACTTGAAATGACTAAAGTCGGTGTCGCAGAAGATGTTGATGTATTCAGTAAACTGATAACTGACTGAACAGACCGACGACCTGACAGTAAACTTGAGGTGTTGCGCCCTTGAAGAGTGACGGAAGTTAGATTGGTCAAACTTTGACCTGTTGTAACAGTATTTAGCTCGTTGGTGTTGTCCCGATTGCTGTTTAGGACATCTGTGGTATTTGTAGTAGTTGCCATGGATTCCGAACTCTGTGAGACCGCTCGTGAACTTAAGCGAGAAAATATAGACGTCCTTGGCCATGAAACCCAAGTGGGAGAAGTTGATCGACTTCCAGCGTCTGCACTTGATTCCTGCAAATATAGAAATTAGGAATGCATGGGATGAAAATACCGGTAACCAAAAATTTTCCTAGACTATACTTGCCAAACAGAACGGGTTTAGAACATCTTTTACCCCAGACATTAACATAGGCAGACAAAGAAAAACATTTCATTCTTAAATGATGGGCAATTTCAAACTGGGTTAAAATGTCAACCAGCTTACATCACTGTGATGAGAAGAATCGTCCTCATCATCCTCATCTTCTTCATCATCTTCCCCTTCTATAAGTTGGTCACCTTCACCGTAAACATCTTGGTCACCATCTTCATCTTCTGTTTCATTTTCATCATCGTCGTCCTCATGATCTTCACCATCATCACCATCATCTTGTTCATCATACTCATCATAATCTGAAGCTTGACCATCAGATACATCTTCGGCCTGGAAAGCGTTAGACTGTTCGGAAACAGAAAAACCGATATTATTTTGCGGTCCATTAGCTGCATCACCAGTTCGCCCGGGTAAAGGTCCCTCTTGAATAGACAATGATGACTGATAGAGATCAACGTCAGAATTGAGCAGTCTACTAAATCCAATTTCTTCCTGCTGATGATTAGATACTTCAGAAGCGCACTGGTGCTTAGTAAGTGAAAATATGCAAAATAAAATATGAGTGAGTAACGGGAAAATAATTAACTTCTCAATTCTTTAGCACAAAAATAAAACATCTTATTATTCACACTTATTAATACAAGAAAGTTTGCATAAACACATTAAAATGCAGAAATACGAATGTATTTCCGTTTGGCTTAGCTACACGTCTCAAATTAGTGGTGAAATAATTGTACATCTATTTGTGGGGTAAAGAGCATAGTACATTCAGTACAATAACAAAACGTAGCAACTAACCAATTCAGAAGTTACCACATTTGTCGAAAAACTAGATGTTGGGTGAAGTTCAACATTCAGATTAGATGATAATTCTGATCTGATATCCAAATCTGTAGTGCTTCCTAGTGTAACAGCTGTACTGCTTGTTTGGCTAACGGTTGCATCAGTATCGAGAAGAGACAAAGGAAGTTCATCTTGAGCTGATGGTGACAGTGGGTAACTTATATGAGAATCGATCTGAATGGTATCATCCTTTGACTCGGGAGAAGAAATTTCTGGGTCGATGGTTCGTCGGCGTTTACAAAAACTATTGTTATCGGATTCAGTTACACGACGTCTAGAGCCACTAGGAAATGCTATCTCGCTATCGCGTGAGTCATTCACTGCATTATCATCAGACACCAGAGGGAACATATGCGACTGATATCCCGGTTCCTCACGTCGTGGATAAGACCAAGTTCCAGAATCAACAGCCTCATTATGAGTCACTTTCGCATCTCCAATTCTTCTTGCAGTAGCCTCGTCATCAACAACATTGTCATCAAGAGATTCATAAGTGGGGGAAGTATGAGATTCTCCAGAAGATTGAATCTGGAAAATGGAGTCTGGACAGCTACTGGCAGCAAAATTCGGAGTAAAGACAAAATTCAAAGAGCAGCCATCTGAAACATTTGAAGCAACTGGAGGAAAGTGAACGGACGAGTTATTTGGTTCTAATCTGGTTGAAGCACTGGATGCATCAGCGGTTGAAGTCATTACCTGGTGAGTTAAATATGATACAAAGTTGATACGAAAATGTTTAGAATGATGAAAAATGTATGAAATAATAGAAAATTGTAACCTTGAACTTAACAGCGAAATATACCTAAATCTTGACGTTAAACAAGTTAACTAACGTTTGGTCAGAAGTTGGGACCAATTATTATAACCGCAGAAACGATCAAATAAATTCTGTATAAAAATATAGGTTAGTTGTACATGATACGTCATGTTATTACGATTTAAAAATTCCCCGTAAAAATTTGATTAGCAAATAACATTTTGATATGTGCTAGCGAAAATAAAATATGATTGGCCGTTGGAGAGTGGAAAAACAGGCACTTAACCTAATGACTATTAAATATTTGATTTCCTTTCCTCTCACCGATTTGTACTCCGAACTCATTGAGAGTGATTGCTTGTAACTAACTGTTGGATAAAGTATTATCTAGTGTTAATCTGGTCCTACATTCTGGGGCGTGAGCCATGATATCATTATCGTAGTATACCTAAGAAAGAAAATATTTTAGAACATCTGTTACATCACATTTAAGTGTAATATGTATGGCAAATTATAGTAAAGCATCAAAGATAGTAGAACTAACTGTTAGCGCGTGTTCAGAAACATTAGTTTCTATATCAGTGATAGTGGATTGCATTTGAAGAGTAAGTAATGAAGGATCATGTATTGAAGGTGTGACTGTGGTGGGAGATGCAACTTCCATGTTTGACTCTGCATGAGTATACTTAGTAGTATCAAGTTCCAAAGTATCCGAAGTAACAACATGTGGCGAAGATAACTCGACATTTAATGTGGATATAACAGTGTGGTGACGCATAGAAGGAACTGTAACAGATTCTGAAACGCTACGATAAGATGGTTGTATATTGAAGCTCGAGTGATGATGCTATAATAAAGAAAATAATTTCAACTTAGCACATATACATAAATAAAAGAGATAAAATCAACGTTACTATAAGAAAAAGGTGTTTTGAATGTAGGAAACTACATAAATCTACCAGTCTTATTAATGTAACCAGGTTTTCATCCAACAAGAAGTACATTAATAAACGATGAGAGCAATCGTGTATATTCCCACTTTTAATAACAAATAAAATGGCTGACAAAAATTATTACCCTTGAAATCATCCTACAGAAACTACGCATTTAATCAATCATCTGGTGTAAGGCCATTTAACTTATATTGATAATTATAAACTTAAAAATAACACTGAGGAATAGATTAACTATAACTATTATCTAAACAAAAATATATGCGGATTTTAAAATCTTCACTATCCTATGAAGATTTTAGACAGTCTTAATAACTGCAAAGCGTGTCATAACGAGCACTGCAATATTATAACGACATTAAGAGAAAATAAGCAAATTATGTCTGATAAAGAGTATTAGCGTCCAAAATAGCTAGCCCGAATTGAATATGTGGTGTTCATGAGACAGAAGTAACAAAATCTTAAATCAAACGATTAAACGATATCGATTACCCTATATCCATCATCGATGCTCATGGATCTTTGTATTCCTTTGTTGGATAGATCATCGGTTTTCGTGGCTTCACTAGAAGAAAGCAATTGCTGGCGCGTAAAGTTATTCCTTTCAGCATTAATTAACAATTCAAGTCCCTTAGAAATAAAGAAAACGACTTTATTATTTTACATAAAAAAGAGAATGAAAATGTTGAACACCCAACTGTGAGGTAAGAATTGAAATATGAAAATAGTAATTATATATATATATATATATATATATATATATAATCACTTAAAATAAGCATGAGCTAACAGATTCTCCTAAACAACTAAATTAATCTGAAAGAAATTACCGAGGCAACTTCACTCGACTGAGATGTGAATGAAAAGGGCGCACATGGACGCACAGTGCCCGTACGGATAGGTACAAGAAGACTAGCTGCGAGTACGGGCAATTCATTAATAGCAATTGGAGCCAAACTGCTGAATACATGTCGACAAAGATCCAAAAGCGTTGGTTGAGCCAAACCCAAACGGCTAAAATTAAAAAAAAGTTAGACGATATACCAAATCTGGAGTATATGCAATGAGCTCAAAATGCAAAATACAGAATTAGGAGGTAATAAACTGAGTTTTAATTAAAATACTAAAAGCATTTTACTCGCCTTTTCTTCTTTTGGTCAGGAGCCAATTCCAAAGACAAACTAGCGTATATTCGAGCTACAGAGCGAATAAACCGAGCGGCCGCTAATGTCATTTCTACTGAGTTAGGATAATCACACTGCTTCAAAAATGCAGAATTATTTGGTGTATCCGCCGGCAAAGTGTCATCTGAAAATTTTCTTTTCTTTTCTTCAGTGTTTGAAGGAAAACTAACGATACATCGATTTAAAGTAGACAGCAGAATGTCAGTTATTTCAGGGGGACACTTGCAAATAAGTGTGAATACAAAATCATCCAACTGATTTGTACCACCTTGAGACGACAGAAAAACCTAAAAAACATAATGCAATTATGGATTTTAAGCTAATCTCAAATTCGACAAATTGAACGTCGATATAGGAAAAATAAATATTGTTGATCAAAGAGAAATTTTCAATATTTATGTGATAACTAAGAGAAATACAATAATGAAATGATTACAGACTAAACGGGAACTAGTATTAAGCACAAAAATTAAAAAGTATCCTACTTGGTCTTCATTAACGAAGCCATTTTTTTGATGAAGTGAATCAGTATCCAGAATATCTGAATTGCTATCTAATGTCAGCATGCTATGGACAGCTGCAGGACAATCAAGAGCCAATTCAAATGCATCACGTGCAAATCGAGGAGGTTCTAGATCATGATCAGGCTCTTCTGGTCCCGAATTTTGAGCTCCGTTATTCGGCTCCCAATTAGATGTTGTATTTGACGCAGAAGTAACAGGAGGGTTACAGTTAGAGTTAGTTCGGGTTGTTGCAGAAGTTAGGCGACGCCTAGATGGGCGGTGCTGCCGTTGCTCCCGTGTTTGGCGCTCCATACATTTAGCCAAGTAAAGTAACAGATGTTCCCCACGAGCGTTTCGATTATGTATAAGCTTTGTTCCCGATAACAGCTTATAAAATAATTCATGCCGCGGAGCCTGAAACCCAGATATAAGACTTTGGCAACAACACTTTTCCCAACAATCACAATAGGCTGTTGGAGAAGTTCTTTTTAGGCGGCAATCGTGACCTTTGTGACAGACACGTGCACACTCCGTACAGCAACACAAAGAGTCCGTTAAACCGCAAGTGCGACACTCGAAGATATCCTAATAAAAATCAAATGATAAAAAAAATTAAAAATTAAACCCATTAAAAGTACAAAATGAGCGAATTATTTTTACTGTCCTCAGTAAAACAAATAGGATTATACAGGTCAACAATGAAGTGCATAAAATTATCTAGAGTAGCTTTAAATAAACAATGACAATCATAGTTCGCAAAATTTTAGGACGATTGTGGACGAACTTCGATATAAATTAACTTAAAAGCAGCTGAAAAACTTGACAGCGAATATTTTTAGTATTCTAATAAGGTAATAAGATAATTATTCAGTAGCGAATGTCTGGAACATAAAAAATCAACAATGATCAAACGAAACCACATACTTGTCTAATATGATCAGGACCGGTCCATGTGAAAGTGCAAGTATCGTTATAACAAAGCTGAAAAAGTGGAGAATCATCTAGTTTGTGACTGGCCGGAGAGAAGAAATCTAATGCGGATCGGTCAGAAATATAATCCACAGTGGAATTCCCAGGCAATTCGGAAATACACTAAGATATGAAAAGAAACAATTCAACAGAATATAAGCTTAAAATATGATTTATGACAACTAAAATAATTATGCAGCATAACTGAATTCCTTTCTCTGTATTATTTTGATGTGAGGTAAAGTAATATTGACCCCGATAACACACTGATCTAGTCAGTCATTCTTGAAACCGGAAATCCACTTCTGTAAAATCAGACACACGCATTTGGAAACTTGCCTGTTACTAAATGTTCGTCCACGCATCAAAACAAAATCTTACTATAAAAGTTATATTGTAGTGAAGGAGAACACAGGTGAGGACAACCGAATTATATTTAGCATAACATTACAGTTACTTGGTAAAATAGAAAAACCATACTATAATACCTAATTTGCAAAATGTTAAATAATTGTCTCAGACTTAATTGTTTTTGCATTTCTACACTAATTGCTTTCTATTACAGTTCTTCCTTTCTTGATCTTCGCAATATTCTGCTGTCAGACATTACATTCATGACACGCGTTACATACTACTTATGTCAATATAAGTAGCACACACCATAATATTATATCCTTTTAGAAATTAGTAATCTCACTTAGTCACTTAATTACTTATGCCAGTAACTTATCGTGGAAGCATAGGTCATCGAACAAGATTCTCCAAGTAACTCTGTTTTGGGCTGTCCTTTCCAGTTATTAACAAGCCCCATTCATTCATTTGATATCTGACTGCGATTAAGGAGCGATGTGTTTTTCGCTCTTTCTCTTTACCTTGAGCATCCCAAGTTATGACATGCCTCATGGTGCAGACTGATGGTTTTCGCAATGTACGTCCTACAAACCTCCAACGTCTTTCCCTAATTTCCTCTTCAACTGGAAGCTGATTTGTTCTGTCACAGTAGGTTGTTGCAGATGGTATCCAGTTGATGGACATTAAGTATCTTGTGTAGACAATTGTTTATAAATACTTGTACATATTTGATGAAAGTTTTAGTAGTTCTCCAAGTTTCAGTTCCATACAATATAACTGTCTTGACGCTTATGATAAAAATCCAAACTTAGGTGTTGGCTAATAACTGTTTTGAGTTCATTTGTTCTTCACTTGTGGAAATGTTGCTGTTGTTTTGCTAATCCACACCTTTACATCTGCATCAGATCCTTCTTATTGATCAATGATGTTGCGCAGGCAAATAGAACTTTCCAGCTCTTCCAGAGTTTCTCCATCAAGTGTGATTTGGTTGGTGCTGGCTGTGTTGTATCTCAGGATCTATTTCCCTTATGCCGAGGCCTACTACTGGTGAGTCTGTTGCTATACTGACTGTCTTGACCAGCATCTATTACCGTGTATGTGATAGAAGAGCTAAATCATTTGAGAAGTCCAAATCATCTAGCTGCATCCAAGCTGTTTATTGTATTCTGTTAGGATATTTGGAAAAATATACCAATAATTATCATGTTAAGTCTAATGATTTCCTTGTTAAATATTGTACAAATGTTGTTTTCTATTTTATGGTACGATGTGGTCTGTTTGGTTGGTATATAAACAGAGTATGTCTGAAATATAAGAATTCATATCGCAGAGGCTGAGACATGTGTTTTGGACTCAACTGACTGGCTAGACAGCGAAGCAGGGCCAATCAGAACTCTAGGTCGTCCTTATGTGTTTTACGTGTCGTTGATCTGGTCGATAAGTACGCTGCTATCTAAATCTGCACTCACAAGTCACAACATATCCCATGTTTCTTCTGAGACGTCGAGGTCTTCGTAATCCAACCGAACATCAAGAGTAAAAGGGCGAGAGTAAGCAACCTTATCCCCCTCGAAATGCAAAATGTTGCTTCAGGATTGGGTTGCATTGACACCCACACTAATGATAGAGTGTGAAGTAGTTGAGCATGTTGACCGCTTCATTTATCTTGGAAGTCTTATCAGCCCTTGTGGTCTAGCGTGTGACGAAGTCTCAGCACGGGTACAGAGGGCTCGACTGGCTTTTACCAACTTGCGTCATTTATGGCGCAGGCGAGATATCCCTCTATCAACCAAAGGACGTGTTTACTGCGCAGCAGTTCGTTCCGTCCTACTTTATGGCAATGAAACATGGCCAGTAAGAGTAAAGGATATTCGTAGGTTACTAGTATTTGATCATAGGTGTCTTCGAAACATTGCTCGTATATCTTGAAACCACCGAGTAACTAATGCAGTTGTTAGGAAACGGGTACTAGGTAAGGATGGCAAATCAATTGATGAAGTAGCAAAACTTCGTCAGTTGAGATAGCGGGGACATGTGTTACGTATGCCCAACCACCGACTGCCCCAACGTGCGATGTTTTGTTGTATAGGAGTAGGTTGGAAGAAATCTAGGGGCGGCCAGACCAAAACATGGCACAAGTCCATGAAGTCACTGACAAGTGGACTGAGCCGTGTTGGTAGGTGTAGACTACCTGGTTGGGGACCGCGAGATGATAGTAACCGATGGTTATAGACCCTGAATGACATGGCCCAAAATCGTTTGCAATGGCGCAGGTGCATACACTCTTTGTGTCCTCCCAAATTCTAATCTTCTGAATTCTTCATGTTCCTTTCTTTTTCCTCTTTCCAAATTTGTTTCACTGGATTATACTCCTTTAGCAACATCTTCAAACCCTAATCTTCCCGGTTACTGCTTATACTCTTACTACCTCCACCACTACGGGATTTGAATCGACAACTGCATCTCTGTGCTAATGTGGTGTGGCAACTCGAACTGATGTACGCATGTACGAAGTTCTACGTTGTTACTGACTGACTGACTGACTATCTGACCCCAGTCTTCACTTGGAATGCATCTATCAGCGATCCTCCATGTACGACTTTGCAGTGTAGTCCGTCCTAAGAACTCCGTTTGAAAGTGGCAATCCTTTCAGGTATACCATATTGTTGAAGAGGGTTCTATGAGTTTCCCTTATCCACCCAACCAAACGCTTCCACATACTAACATAATCCAGCAGGTCGATCATGAGGTTGGGTGTCCACTGAGCCACAAAGTTTTGTTTTGCTTCAGATAACCATAAAATGACACTGAAGAAAAAATGACGATAGATGCATAACAAAAAACCAGTACACATATGGATTTAAGTGCCAATCTTGTTGATAAAATAATGTGTTGTGTTCGGAAGCTAACTCCTATTGCATGCGGTACACTGGCTTCTAAGTACTCATGGGACATGTAAATAAACATATGTAAGTATTGTATGTTACTGTTGTACAGTGGCCCCAGTATTGTAAACAAATATTCTTGGAAATGATGAGCTTAGAATTGTCTCTCAACGGGGTTGAAAATATTGTGAAAATGGATGAGACAGTAATGAAAAAAATGAATGTGAAGTAAGGTAGATAGGTAGTCTGCTCTCTAACTGTAGTAGATTCTTGGAATATAGGATGGGACTCTGCAAAATTCATTTTGAGAGGGTGAAGGATCAAAAAGTAACAACATTTTATGACTTAACTTAAATATTTAACTGAAACCACTGCTTCTTTATAAAAAAAACATTAAATATCAAATCGACCCGAAAAATGTTCAAAAATGTTCAAGATAAAATCGTAATCACCCGAATGGTATCATACAAAAATCGAGCAACACTGTAAGCTCGAATTTTAATTGCCAACATAAATGGTGTAAGGTCTTCAGTATTGCGAGCAGTTAGAAGCGGGATCAAACTAGGTATTAAATGTCGACTCTCTACTAAAAGACGAAGTATGCGATATGAAGAGATTCTCCGAGTAAGTTCATCTTTTCGTACTGGAGGAAGATGCCAAAAATTTATACCATTTCCAGATGAAGGAGCAGTGTTGGAGGTGGTGCGGATGTCCGAGTCACCACGTGAAGTAGAGCTAGATAATGCCGCCGCCGCCGCAACAGTAGCAGCTTCAATAGAAGATCGAATAAACAGTTCATGCATGCTCAAACATCCAGAGCCGGCAGAAGAGCGAGCTACGGATGACCTGTAAGATAAAGTATGCATTGATGAAAAAATGATAAATCAGTTACAGAAAATCACTATATGATCATATCTAAAGTGGGTTGAAATGTGCGACTGTAATTGTAATTCTAATGCTAAAAAGTATCAAGTTATTCGCATCAATCTAATACCAATGATAGTTTGTGAGCATCTAATAGATTTACACGGCTTATAATTTTACTACATCTAGCACTACGGGATTTGAATCGACAACTGCATCTCTGTGTTAATGTGGTGCGGCAACTCGAACTGATGTACGTATGTACGAAGTTCTACGTTGTTACTGACTGACTGAATAGATTTACTTAAATCCAACAGATACCAGAAGGACGTAACATGATAAATGGTTGACATCCAATTTACAGACAAAAAATTACACATACAGAATATTAGCTGGAATCAAATGAAATACTTTCCACTAGCAATGTAAAAACGCAACTAGATAATACATACTAGTTAACTATTTGACTAGGACGTTTTACACTGATATAATGAAAAGAACAACTACAAAGTTTAAAGAAGTAACATGGTTGAGGAAACCTTACAAGACAGCATTCAAAACTTCATGAAACGTATGAAAATACAACTGGCTTGCTAGTATATACAATCTGAAGACTCAATACATGTTGATCAGTAGCCAACTAATCATAAACAAGGAAGGGTCATATACGAACATTCATAGGTCCAAGTTGCCGCATTCCACATCAAAACAAAGGAAAATTCACATGATAAAAAGGAAAGAAGTAAATATCAGCTAAATAAAAGGGATATAAGCAAAAAAGTAGTAAATGAGAAGTAGGATCGAATACTAAGCTAAGGATTGTGATGAATATATAGAAATAATGTATGTGTACCACTGAAATTGATTATGACCCTCATCAACTAGCATTTCCAACTACTGAGATTATAATTAATTCATGAACCACACAAAGGAATACTGAGCATTCCCACACTAACAATGAGTTTATGAACCGACTTCACATCTTAGTTTGGTCTCAGATATTGGCTAGAATAACAGCGGAAGTCTCATGAGTAAACCATTTAGCTCAGAGAAACCAAAATCAGAACAAACTATAGTTTAGTCATGGAGTAATTAGTAAGCAAAGATACCATAAACGGAAATATATTTCAGTTCCCGATCCAAACCTTCAAGTAGAAATAAAAAAATTACTATCACAAAAGTGAAACATTTCCATGCATAGAACCATAATAAATGATATAGTTCATTGTAATTTTAAGTTAACTAACCAAAATGAGGGTTGCCGGCTGGAAGTATTTGGATTAACTACTTTCATCACAGAAGCATCAGAAGATTCATTGGCCTCCTTAATTGGTTTGGTCTTATCCTCAAAAGTAGGACGAAATATAGGGCTAGTAAGGACAGGTTCAAGTTTTGACAGCCATTCAGGACTTGTTTCTTTGTTAGATTGTGGTGCACACATCGACACAGCCATGTGAAGTAAATTGCGCCGTCCATCCGCCATCTCGCAAGCAACTTTAAGACTTTCAACTGAAGACAAGTCAGCAGCCAACTGGTAAAATGTAAAACCACATTACAGGTTGAGGTATAATAATTGGATTGAGATTATTAGTCAGGAAATGCTTATTTGATTTTAGTGTTTCATGAGGTACCTTAAAAGTGTAACTTATATGCCAAGCAAAAGTTTATATCTCGATTACGAAGTACGCTGTTTGAATGGGAATTAATTAAGATAACAGGCTCCCCGAACTAAAGTTCAAATGGGTGCCCTGTTGGATAACCAATGAGCTACTACTTCACTAAATGTAAAATTATGTATAAAACTATCTTAAGCAAAATTGGGCTAGTTTAAGATACTATAATTCCTAACACAAGGTACAAAAAGATAAACCATAGTGCAAGTTATAACATCTAACATACCACCTGTTTTGTTCCTTCCGAGCGGATTTCAGAAGTTCTGAGAAATACCTCGTTTTATCAACAGACTGGCGTGAATCTAAAACATCTACTACTGATAGTGATAATTTATTCCAAAGTTCCACCAAATCGAATGTCCTGCTACATAAGTCTATTTAAAGGGTCTAGGTTGATAAACATACACAATAGATTAACTGATATGTAATTTGAAGTTCGATAATCATTAGACGCTATTTAAAATGATCTTAGAGATACATAGGAAACATTTAATAGACAGTTTACATTTAATATACGACAAAAAGCGTATAATATGTCTGCATCATACATCCATTCTACTGACATAATAAAGTATGTACCCCTACTTATTCTGATCACATTTTAAAGCAGCATAGTATGTACTAATTTACTCACTGATTACAAAAGTAGTGTGTATCGAGACAAGCAAAGTCATACAGATTCAAGTTAGATAACAGAAAGTAAGATTATCGCTTTACTTTTAAGAATTGTGAAATGAGAGAACCGACAAAATTAGTGTTAATTAGAAATTTTTAAATGTCAAGCAAGTTATCAAGTTTTCGACACATTTGTCTAGATATCGTTTAGGACAGCCGTAGGAAAAATGAACCATGACATCTTTATAGAACAAGATGATTGGTTTTCCACACAAGAAACTATGAATACAGCCCACAAGCGTGACTAAGATGACAAGAATTGTGGTATGATAATCTTCGTCTACCCTACTAAACTAGAAAAGGATGAAATCTACACCTAATAAGAGTAGCTACCGTAAATTAGTTATTACCAGCCGACAAAGGTTGTAGCTAATTCATTCAAATCAACAGTCGATGCTGAAATCTAATCATTCTGTACTGGATAAAAAGTGAAACGTTAAAAAGTATCATAGTATTTTAAATACGAAAGAAAAACTATGAAATGATAAAGGACAATGATAGAGAAACACACCAATTTCTCAACTTGGACGTCATTAGCTCTAAGAATATGTGGCATTAAAGTAAGATCTTGTACAACCACTAGACCAAACAGACAACGTGGTTGTTGTTCACTTTGTGACTTTGAAGACTGTCGTCCATTCGTACACCCTGAAATTCCAGACGGTGGTAAATGATTTCGAATCCAAGCAAAAGACGCACATTGGACAGGAGGAAGATCAACTGACATCAAATTAGTCCATATTTCATGGCTGGCTGTTCTTGAAGGTGGAATAAATGGCAAAACTAGACCACTAGGATCCCGTAACAGTAACGGATGCTATCACGAAAAAAAAAACAATTCACAAATTTTTGACAAAATTATATTAAAGATACATCTTCAACAACGAACAACAGGATTACTACAAAAATGTATTGCGTGAAGACTAAAAGCATACTATACTACATACATTTGAGGATATTAAACTAGGAACTTTCTTGAATGAGTAGACACCTATCCTCTAATAGACTCAGTATGTCTGTATCATAGAACTAAATGTAATATGGGTTGAGTGCTGTTCACAAAGTAAATTAACTGGATAGGATAATAAAAAAATATTATTCCGTTAAAACTCTGGTCAATAAGGTGATTCAAAACTTTGAAGTCTAATTGTACGCATAAATAGACCAAATGTACGAGGTTTATAACGAAAACCTTGTAGGCAATTCAACAATCGAAATTACAATTCAACCGATAAGATTTTTTGTGATAATAACTTTGATGACAGTAATAGTGTGGTTACGTTAATTATACAAAGTATACACTAGCCAAATAATATCAGGAAAAAAACTCACTTCAGACGGGCAAGTTATTGTGGCTGATCCATTCTTTACTTCTGTAACAGGTTTGAGTGCAGAAGCACTTACTGGCATTCTTTGGTTGATAATTAATTTTCCTGATAAATTGTAAACCTGATACAAAGCGGATTGATAGGGTCCACCATCTGTTTGTTCTGCGATGACATGAATACGACTGTTTTCAACCGCAAGTGCTAGAATTTTAGGAGCATAGCAAGGTAAACCTTTCGAAACCCTTGAATCACCTGAATTCCGACTATAATTGCTACTCGGAGCAGCAAATACACGTCTGGGTGTGCGTTGTACAACATCAGGGACTCGTACCAACCCAGCATTACGAACAATCGTTAAGTCTTCTTTGCGTAACAATCGGCAATCCTAGGTACAAAACAGAGAAAACAAAAAGATTATGGACAGCTCTCATACGTACAGTCGATAGACGCTGTTTGGAACAAAACTCATTATTAAAGTTATCACACTAAACCACCAAACTAGTGCCCCAAAATGCCCTGGTACGGCCGAAGGTGAGGAGAGTCCGCTCCTCCACTTCAAATGCTCTCACATAGCCATGTGTATATAGCCACAGCCAGTGAAGTCCTACTCACTGCCTCATTGTAGCGAGGGTGTTGTCTACGAAATTGAGAGGACGAAAAGTGAATATCCGGTGCTTTAACCGGGTCGGCGGACACGGAGGACCCACCTAGAGGAGTTGGAAAACCCTGATTCCAAACCAATGGTGCATATGGACTCCAGAGTTCTGGGGAAATAAATGGAGTATGAACCAATTATTGGTCAACGGCTAACATGGGACTGCATTACCTGACGTTGCTCCACTGCCTTGTGGATCAGACCTTTAGGCCGAAGGCTTCGCGTGTGACCCCCTAAGAAAACCACCTGCTTCTCTTCGGTCTGGGCACCCGAGCAGTAACACAGCCCACACACAGATCAAGTGACTTGTGTGGTGCATATGTATTCGGTGTCCATTTGTACCAACATTTATGTGCTCAAATAAATAAATATAAATATGACCAAACTAGTCAATCAGTCAGCTACAACGTAGCACAGCAAGATGAACACCGGATTCATAGGAGTGGTTAAGTCAATGGTGGTAATATATAAAAGAAAGATTGCATATAAGGATATAGTGCAGGAAGAATGAATTAGTTCGTAGAAAGATATGAAGTGATTTTAATCTCTTAGTTTAAGGGAAGATAGAGAGTGTATACACCGACGCCATTGTGAACGATTCTGAGCCATGCCACACACAGTCTCCAACCATTGGTTACGATAGTCACGCGGACCCCAACCAAGTAGTGTGCATCTACCAACATGGCTCAAACTAGAAGTTAGTGACTTCAAGCACTGATGCCATGTTTTGGTTTGGCCACCCCTAACTTTCTTCCAACCATTCCCAACACCGGTTAGCATTGCACGTCGTGGTAATCGGTGTTCAGGCATACGTATCACGTGGCCCAACCATCTCAATCGATGAAGATTCACAACCTCATAAACTGATTTACCATCATTCCCTAATATCCTGCGTCTAACCTCACTATTACTTACCCGGTGATCCCAGGAGATGCGAGCAATATTTCTAAGGCATCTGTGGTCAAATACTAGTAGCTGACGAGTATCTTCTACTCTTAATAGTCACGTTTCGCAGCCGTAAACTTAAACAGAACGGACTGCCGCGCAGTATACTCGTCCTTTTATTGATAGACGGATATCTCGCCTTCGCCATAGGTGACATAAGTTAGCAAAAGTTGAACGAGCTTTTCGAATGGGTGCTGAAATTTCATCAAACACTAACCCATTAAGGCTAATCAGACTTCGAAGATAAGTGACGTTGTCAACGTGTTCGACTACTTCACTCCCTATCCTTAGTTCAGGTGTTGACGCAGACCAGTCCTGAAGCAACAACTTGCATTTAGAGGGAGAGAAGCGCATTCCAAACATCCTGGCATTGTTGCTTAGTGCTACCAGAAGACTGCATTTTATCAGCGTCTCCACCAAACAGGAATATGTCATTTGCGTGTTCTAAGTCGATACCCGAGAATTCACTGGCGGAAAGTATTAAATCAGGATTTATTGTTTAGTGCCCAGAAAGCCACAACGCATCAGACTCAGGTGCGAACCCCCTTTCTATCTATACAGTTAAAAATATGCGACTAATAATTAGCCCAATCAAGTTTGATGTAATGATGAACAATTTAATGAAAAGAATTTCATCAAGACTTTAAAACGAGGACAAAGATCTCCAAACACAATATAGATATTTCATTATATCCATAAGACTATCACAGTATTGTCCCTATATAAATATTTTACGCCTTAAAATCCAAACGCACAATTAATCAATTTGCAATTTAAATTAGCTAAACATGGGATTACAAAAAATTCCACGTTACGAAGAAATGAAAACACTTCTGTACGTAAACAGGTGACTTAAATACTATATCTAACCTGACGAATGCCATTGAAAATAATTAAACACCATTGTAGTTATTAAACTTACGTTAAGCCAGCTCATTGGGTCAGCAGATGTAAGGGGAATTTGGGAATAAGTTGATGTTGTGGCGGTTAGTGAAGAACTGACTCCCAAAATGCTATTAATGAGAACACATACAGGGGAATATGGACAATTGGCAGCCACACATGATCGTTCTTGTTCCTACAATTAAAGGGTTCATATTATTTATGAGATAATTAACAAACAACGGAAGAAACTCATTGATTCATTAACAAGTATGAACACATTTCAGTGGAAAGAATTCCCTTTTCGATATCATTTTCTTAGGTTGTACATTTATATTTACAGATAATCTTTACACGTAATATTAATAAGCAAAGATATATTGTAACAAACCTTTAGGAATTTAACAGCTGCAATATTTCCATCCACTTTAAGTACAATACCCACTGGTTGAGTTCGCCCATCCTCGACAAATACAACATCGCTTAAACACCAATCTTCTTCGGAAAAAGTAGAGTTATTAGATGCTCGATTACATCCAATATCTGATCTATTCGTTACATCAATGACATCATGGTTTAAATCGATGGAACCACGTTTGTTAGCGGAATTGACTGGAACACCAATAGAAGGATCTCGATCAGCAGAGCGACCACGCGCACTGCGACCATTATTTTGATTACCGATGTCCCAATCCCCGACAATACGTTCACTACGATCGCCCGAGATGCTAGGAACTTTTTTCCTTTCTGTAAGCGTAAAGTGATAACAGAGTGAGAACGTAATTGTCAGAAACGGTATAAGGAAAATACTTAACAGATAATCAGTCAAAACATCGTAAGTCATGTGCACAACTCCTTATCTTAAAAAATCTCTTCAACGGGAAATAATAGAAATATCAATCGATTTATTGCAAAGGTAGGCTTCAGAAACAAAACCTGACTCGAACTATTCCACTGTCAAAGCTATAAAACTACATTTGACTCTACTTAGCTGATAGAAAATATGTACAGAAAGGACAGTACATACTGAAAGCTAAATCAGTTCACCATGATAAAAACACTACACAGGATTAATGATAAATTTCTATGAAGCATATTGTGTATTAGTCGAGTAGAAGTCCATACATCGACTATCAAAAAATTCGTTATAATCCAGTAAATACATGCATGTTTGTGCTATGGAACGTAGCTTACATTTACTAGAAGGAATATTAATTCATCATACTCCTATACCAAAGATAAATGGATAGATAATTTGGTTACATTTTCAGTCAATCAATATGGAATGTACAAGAAAGGTATTAAACTTATAATGACAGTGGAAATTTTGAAAACTACATGATATTTATTTTGATAATAAAGATCTCTTATCAAATTTTTAAAAATCCTTCATCACCTAAAAAGTACAAAGTTGACATGTTTATTTAACAGTGATTGTTAGCTGAAACATTTCGAGAATGAACTCACTAAATGTTCCTGGGCTAACTCTTACAGGACCTGACTGGTCACTACATGTGGAAGAAGCTGGAGATGGTGGAGGTGGCATTTCTTGAAACGTTAGGGTAGAGTTGCTTCCACTCGACGAAATGGCTATCTGGTCACTAGGGAACTGAACTCCTGAAACACTGTTACCCAAAGATGCTGAGCATTGTGACGAGCTATGCTGATTGTGAACTGTTAGACCCAAAGTATATGGGCAAGTCAGTATATGTTGTGATGAATCAGATGATAAAGCAGGAGGATGAAATGGACCTTCATTAATTCCTGATGTAAAGGAAGTGGAGTTCATAACGTTAATACGAAAGCGACATACATCCGTTGTTTTCCAGGCATCTTCAAGTAGCGTTCCCACCTAGGCAAATACAAGTCAGGGACAAAATCAATAGAGAGTAAGGCAAATAACAAGATTATCTTTACCAGACATGCTGAATCTACATGAGACAGCATGAAGAACAAACCAGAACAATGTAGGCAACATTCCTAAAACGTGAAATCATTTTCAGAATAATTTAAAAGGGATTTTAGAAAGGTCCTGATCTGATGTCAGTGTACCAGGCTGTTATTGTATGTTGGGGTGTATTCTGGAAAGTCTATTCTAAATACTGATGAAGAGGCTCAAGTAAACTTGTGATAGAGCAATCTTGTTCCTATATATCTTTCTAAAAACGATTAATGGTTGATATATCCCAAACTTTCTGGCATGAACACTAACAGAATATTTCTGTAATAGATCAATTAGGAAGGTTATATATTGGTGTAGGTTTATTATTCATTTAGACCAACATAATTTCATAATCTATAGTCCCACCAAGTCTCAATTGTCAGGAACTGGAAACCATTCAAGCAAAAACACAACATAGAACATATTTGGTACAAAGTTTTAAAACTAGAAGACTGAGTTTAGATTACAGTATTGTAAAAAATGATATTTAAATTAATGTTGATAAAGATCACTTTTGGTCGATTACTACGAAACACATTAGATTTACAAACTTTGCCCTTTGAATACAAGAATCTTTACTTCTAGTAATATAAGTGTTCAAAACGGAAAGTCACGGTTTCATATGTGACTAATAAATACACCTTTTCTTAATAGCAATATCAGCATTCCAAAGCAACTGTAATATGATTGCATGTCATCACAATGTTATAGGCAATTCACAACGTTCAAAGCATTGAGATATCTCTTGGACATCACCTGATGTAACTCAAATAATATTAATGAACACTAATGTATAAGGCTGTGAAAGATGCCTATCGTATGAATAGTACTAAAAACGTATCCGATAAGAAATTTGAACCTACAGCTTGATGAACGAAAATTGATTATTTGAACTATGATTCTCACGTGACTTATTTTACTAGATTTGTAAATACATAAAATACCAAACACAATAATGAAAAATGGGAGCTTCAATAAACACACCTTCGGTACTCCACCAACTACAGTAAAACCAATCGCTCCAGCATGGAATATTGGAGCACTACGTATACAAACAAACGAACCAGGTACAATCCCAGTGCTTGAACTTGATATATCTGTCACGTTTTGCCCATGAATTTCTCCTGTACTGGTATTTGACGACTCTGCAGTGGAGTTGCTGCTGGACTGCTGAGATAAACAATATCGACGACTGCCAGAATTTTTGGATGACGCATTAGTTCTTTTAGAAACTGATGAGACACGATTTTGACGCATTTTTTCGATCGCTCGCTGCCTCATGTAGGAAGGATAAATTCCCCTGTAGATAATTAAATGAAAATACTTCACATGTTCGATAACCAGTAGCAATTGACATCATTTAATTACACTTGTTTAATACCATTTTTAAAAACAGAAGCATAGAAACTACTTCAAATACAGACAAACACTAAAAAACTAAGCTGAGAGTTTAGCTCTTGAGAAAAGAAAATACAAAACACAGTAAAGTCCAAAACTGTCACACTATAAATAAGTTGAAAATATAAGAAATTTAACCGATTGTAACATACCACCAATATACTGAACCGGATAAACAGCGGATAACAGTCACTAGTGGAGCAGTATGAATTTCGACAACGGTTTCATCACGTAGTTCAGGAAACAAAACAGCCTGATGCTCTATTCCTAAGGAACCAGATAATGAGCCTAATGGGTAGGAGGCAGGTAACGAATGGACAAGACTTTCATCCATCCATGTAGCGAACTTCCCTGTAGCTGTTAACACAGTTGCCCGAGTAGCACAGCCAGAAAGTTTGATTATTTTCTCATCGCCCAAACCAAGGTCCAAAACTCGTGGATGGTACACCGCAGAGAAGCTGTGCTCTGCATGTCCTGTTGATTCTGAGTCTATAATCTTTAGAAACAATAACAAAAGCAACTGAAGATTGATCTAGTAGAAATACTAGTAAGTAACTAATAAAAATCTATTCACTTTGACAAACATTTACTATTAGAAACAATGGAGATATTAGCTGACTTATTTCAATAGATATCACTTAAAATACATCTAAAACTAAACAACTTAGACAATTTTAGCTTACTTTCTTATCGTTATCTTCCTTTAAGTTTGCCGTATTGCGCATAAAAAAAGGAGTAGAATCTCCCCACCTCCATTGATGGAGTTCACCCCAAGTTGTTAAAGCAACTAATTCAGAATGAAGTGCTGTGATATGCACAAAGTGCAAATTTAATTCTGAATTTTCAGGATCTGGCCAGAATTCGAGTACATCACACAACTGAACATAGTAACGGGTAGAACTGCCAGACTGTTTGACGTTATCACTTGCCTGAGTATAAAAAAATAACATGATGATAACTCTGATAGAAATTACTAGTCACATAAATTAGATATCACAAAGCATCAAACAGATGTATAAATCTATTTATAAATACATTCACAGAAATCATAGATTCAGTTAATATGAGATTCTGAAGTCTTATTTCTTTGGATAAAATTGCGTTAGATATTCACTGGACATGAACGTCGTTAGGTCGGCTACGGCAACATGAGATGTTGCATAATTCACATCACCTATGACAATTCTCTTTATTGTAATTCTAGATTGTTACGAAAACAAAGGCTAAACGTCGTTGATTTATTTACCTCTTAATAAGCAAATAGAATCGATTCTTAGCACTTTTTTTCGTTCGGCTTCATAATCAAAGTCTACATCTTTGTTTATCAAGAAAACTAATGTTATACTACTTTTCATTTCATGTTCATGTTCGTACACAAGGAAACAAATATTTACGTCACATCATCGGATTAACAGAGATGTTCAATAGCTAAGCAAATACTATTGATAGGTTTACAGATACGGACATGATAATGCATCATTCAGGAAAAGTAACGTAAATATCAGAAATCCAAAAATAAGAGTTGATGTTTAGTACAATTTTTAAAATAAACTGATTGAAATAGAAACACTAAAAAGGATTTGAATATAAGGACTAGAAAACCGTGTAAAAAATCTACTCACAGAATCCGAAGCAGTTGAGTTTCTAAGTGAATCTGCAACAGATCTATTGTAGGTTGTGTCGCTTACGACAGAAGTATTGCGTCCGGAATACAGTTCGTTACCTCTATTGTATAAATGCGATTCCATACGGCGACGTTTGCGACGATCACTAAGAAAACCATATTCTAAACAGGTAACAAAAATCGTTACATTAGCAGATATCAGAACGAAAACCTAATTTTATACACAGAGTATCAACCAAATTATAATGGCATTACGAAATCTTAAAAACCTTAAATACATGCATTCAAGATTATAATTAATTCACCTGCAGGAACCTAAACAACTCTAAGACTAAATCAAAACACAAATGGTTTCCAAAAAAGTCAAAAGGTCAACCTTTGTTTGTGTATTTCACTTAAACTATATCAACAGACTAGTACTACTACATATTTTCATTTGGTTATTAGCATGAACTTATCCGAAATTCCCTAAAGTAAACAAAGATATTTCCTTGAGAATTGGATGAAAGTTCATGACTAAATATGATACAATACCTGTGCGTATGACGTACCACTAACAAAATATGCTAGAAATTAAAAACAACTGATAGACCCTTTACACAGAACTAAAATCCTGACTAGCTTGTCCAAAACGTCTTTTAGTCAAAAAGGCTGCCGGTTAACACTTTTAAGTAAATAAAATACACCCATTGAAACATAAAATAAGAAAGATTGGTTCAGCGAAGAATTATTTTTTTCAGGGAATTCATTTTCAAAGTTGTACAATCGCAAATATATGTACTTATTTTTCAGAATGATAATAAAATTCTATTGAACGCGGTAACAGTGGGGTGGAATAAACAAATGTATCTTAACGCTTTACCGCTGAGACCCAATTATAGGGAAATAAACTTTAACACTAATCCACCCCTTGTACCGAATAGCGAGAGATTAATGCATTAAAATGATATGTTACACTAACCATAATCGGATGTCAAATCACCGCGAAAACGCGGAGATGTGGGGGGCCCAGCCATTTCATCAGCTATTAGTCCATCAGCATCAAAAAGTCCATGGCTATCTGGGTACTCAAAGAATGACAACAGCTCCACTGCTTCATCGTCCCAGTCGTCCGAGTTTCCGCCTGCCCCAGCTCCAGGAGCATTTCCATCACTAGAATTTCCACCGTTACCCTGTTCCGCTTCATCATCACGAGAAAGCAAATTATTCACCGCCATATTAACGTCCAAATTCGTATTCTGTAGTTCACGGACGATTACTTGCCGTGACTTCCCCTAAAATTTAATAACATCATTAAAGATTCCGACAGTTAAAAAATTCACAACTCCGTTAGTTGAAAAACCGACCACATGACCATTAGCAATTTTGAAAAAAGCCATGTGCTATCTAAAATTGCATAAGATTCAAGCAAAACATTATAAGTGGATCATACACATACACGTAATTAGAATGGGTCATGTTTGTCATTATGATTCAAAATATATAATAAATACAATACTGTTACATAAGCAAAAGCTAAATACGAACAAAGACGTACTCGAAAACCGATACTTACTTGCAAGACAGTTTGGCATTCTTCAATCAATACCTCTGGAATTTCACTTTCAGGAATTTGATGTGTAACTGGCCTCGCCAGGTAAATCCCCTGACGTTGCATTTCACGCAAAAAGCTGATGCCTCTAGATGTTCTACCAAGAACATTTAAAGGCGACCTATATGAACGACTTCCATGTTGTGTACTTCCAGTACGAGCTACAACCCCCTCTCTAACAGTACTGGATGAGTCACTGCACGACATCCCTTGCTTTCGCCTTTTGGAGTAAATTAAAATGAAAAACTTACTTTCTATCAGGCTTCTGTGATAAACGATCAGAATTTATGGTGTAAGCCACCCGACACACTTGACCGTCCTAAAGTGGTGAATACTACTTACAGATAACCTTACCTCTAAACGAAAAGCTATGTGTGAAGGACTGATTACACATTGTGCTATTGAATCCCGGGTTAATGGACGCAAAACATCAGGTATAGAAACCCCGTCACGCTTGATTTGTTCTGAAATTTCCTTTAACCTTGATAATGAAAGAAAGAGTTAAAACAGGAATATAAATGCCTTGTCAAAATAAAATGTTAAGCGTAATCCTATTTTAACACGTTAAAAGTCCATTTAAAATGTATCCAGTACCAGATGCCCTGGTATGGCCGAGAGTGGGGTGGGTCCGCCCCCTCTCCAAATGCTCTCACACGGCCACGCGTATACAGCCTCTGCCAGGGAAGTCCTACTCACTGCCTTCTCGTGGCGGGGGTGTTGTTTACGAAAATGAGAGGACGGAAAGCGAATGTCCGGCGCTTTAACCGGATTCCAAACCAATGGTGCACATGGGCTCCAGTATCCTGCAAGGGCAAATGGCGTATGAACCAATCTTGGTCACCGGCTACCATGGGACTGCATCTCCTCACGATGCTCCACTGCCATGTGGATCAGACCTTCAGGTCGAAGGCTCGGGGTGTGGCCTCCTAAGAAGACCACCTGCTTCGGTCTGGGCATCCGAGCAGTATCACAGCCCACACACAAATATGATGAACTGTCGACAATTATGGAAAATACTTTTCTTGCTTCAATTGACAATCAAACGATCCACATTATTATTATTACTATTGTTATTATTCACTACGTCATTTATTCACTCTCTTTTATTCCTACTCTGTCTATCCTTATTTTTCGACTTATACAGCAGCTTGCCTATGGTAGAAATTCGGTTCTATCTAAACGTTCTCGAGTAGAAACGTTATCAGATATGGCTCAGAATAGAAGCCAGTGGCGATCCTGCTGTAACCTTTTACTTTCTTCATAAAAAGTGGTTGCTTCTTCCTTAACTGAAAGATCTCTTCTGAGTGTAGGTTTCTGTTTCCCGCATTATTATTATTACACTACCTTACACTAATCTGTTCGTTATCGTTTTTTACGCTCCTTACCTTTTTTTCCTTCTCTGCAAATTCTTATTGCTTTGTGTGACGCATATATATTTGGTGCCCTCCTGTACCAATATTTTGTGTTCAAATAAATAAATAAAATAAGTACCAGAGCACATGCTAATGTATTTCATGTATTGTGATATATATATATATATATATATATATATATATATATACATGGTTTTCTTATCGTATTTCTTAAATTTCAAGGGTCAATAGAAGTCTTTTGGTACTAAAATATGCTGAATTTATGACGCTGACCTTTATCTGCATGAGACTGTAGATAATGTCCGGGGTTTTTGATAATATATCAACTTGCCACTTGTAGCAACTAATTAAAGAATACCATGATTACAAAGTTAACTACGATACAAAGTTTCTATGACTGACAAGTACCTTGCTGCAGGTTGCGTTAATCAAATTCCGTAGTTAGGTAAAAAATAACTGGAAGACTTCTGAAGGACTCTCTTTTATTATCTCACTTGACCCGTAAATTGATTAAACTGTATCTTTGGAACCAAACGTAACCCGAACGTAATACTTATGTCAGCAAAGACGTGGCATGAGTTCATGAAATCACTGACAATCGAACCGAATCATGTCGGCAAGTCCAAACTTGCTGGAAAACGCTGGAATCTTATCGCAAAACATAAAGCTTGACTCGTTGTTCATATAACATTCTCACTAACAGGTAGACTAAAGCAGTCACATTACAACTCATACAATAGTTAGTGTCTATTTGGTTCATTTCTCGCAAGAACAATTTCAGTCACGATCGCCGCGTTTGCTACGCTCGTAGCCCTAAAATTATCAACACTAAGGATATAACTGGTAACCAGTTAGATTAGGGAAGATAAGGTTGAGACCTATTCGAGTCTACTTTATATGGCTCCAGTTGGCTAAGTGGAGATTTGAGTAGTCCCTGGTAAAACTTTGGTAAAGCTGATGGGTGCGTACATACAGTAAAATATATGAGACATATTTCAGCGTCACAAGTTTCGAAAGAATACTTTAAGGTAGCCATAAAGATATTCACCAATAAGACATTAAGACGTACGTTGCGATTTACACCAGTTCATGTTGAAAAATTCGTGCCCTATAAACTCACTTTTCATGGAGATCATTCTGCAATTGGTAATAGGAACTTTCACCCTTTCCATGATCCTGAGCGAACAAAAAGATGCTCGACATGATATTAGACAGCCACAAACACGAAGGTCATCGAAGTTACTGAACGATCATAAGAACAAACCATGGTCCGCCCAATTCGAAAAAATACTCACTTTGTTATTATCATTCATAATAGGGTCTAGTAAATTGTCATTCACACGATTACTATAGATTAATATCAAACCTATAGATTTCAAGACTCCTCCTGAGGGCCTTCTGCGGTTACTGCCTGTGCTAACCACGGATACGTGGAACGTCCGGACAATGTAGGAAACCGAGTGGACCTGTGAAAGAGCTGCAGAAATGAGGGGATACAACCTGGCGGTTCTCGGAATCAGCAAAACCCATCGGACTCGAGCTGGACAGCAAAGGCTAGATACAGGAGAGATGGTGCTAAACTCCGGTCACGAAGAGGAAAATGCTCCACACACTCAGGGAATTGCTCTAATGCTGTCCAAAGAAACACGAAATTCACTTGTAGGATAGGAATCTCACGGATCCACAATCATCAAAGCATCATTCAAAACAAAAAAGGAGGGAATTACAATGAACGTTATCCAGTGTTATGCATCCACCAATGATAGCAATGACGACGATAAAGATCAGTTCTACGATAGGCTGTAATCAATCATAGCAAAGTGTCCAAGAAAGGATCTCACCATCCTGGTGAGAGACTTAGACGCGAAAGTCGGAATGGATAGCAACTGTTATGAAGATATCATGGTCTGACATGGACTAGGAGAAAGGGACGACAATAGCGAGAGATTCGCAAATCTATGTGCATTCAACAAATTGATTATAGGCGGCACAATATTCTCCCACAAACGGACACATAAAAAGCTACATGGATCTCACAAGATAACACAACGGAGAACCAGATAGATTATATTGGCATCAGTAAAAATTTCCGAAGGACAATGGAAGACGTGAGACTCAGAAGAGGAACTGACATAGCTTCGGATCACCACTTCGTTGTGGCCAAGAGGTAATTGAAGCTGAAGAAGCAATGTACAATTAAGTTAACAGCATTACAATTATTTAGCAGAGCATCCCTACGAAATACTAACAAACTGAACGAATTCAATACAAATCTCAAAAATTGGTTCCAAGCATTACAGGATCTATTGAATGAAGAAGAAACTACTAAAGGGATCAGAAAACCACCAACTTCAACGTGTCATGAGGTGCTGAATCTCAAGAAGCATCATCATAAGCAATGGATTTCTACCGAAACCATGAACTAGATTCAAGAAAAGAAGAGCAAGAAGATAGCAATTAACAACAGCCGAACAAGAGTAGAGAAAGTCAAGGCACAGACCAAATACACCGGAGCAAACAAACAAGTGAAGAAAAGCATTAGAGCCGACAAGAAGAAATAAGTGGAAGAGCTGGCAACGACAGAAGCTGTCCTCTTTCGATGCAGTTGCGTATAATCTCCCTGACCACATACACCCATCTAAGCCGAGAGATATTTGCTTTAGGGCATGCGGCATGCTGAACGTTAACTGGAAAATCATCCGCCTTAGAAAAACGTCAGATCAACATGCCCCCTCCTGTTTAAGTTTGGCTGTTGTGACGACGCCAAACAGTTTATTGATTCGAGCAAAATATTAGCTCATTAATTCCATGCAAAAACATAAAAGTAACTCCAGACCTTACGTCCTGTCATCGTTGTGTAAGAAGACGTGAAGCGATAAGAATGCATGGGAGTGTTACAGTAAATAACCAGCCAGAGACAGTTTGCAACACAGTAAATAGATTATATCACATGAACAATAAGCATAACATCACTGCACGGGCGGCTGATCACTCTGTTGAGCTATGTGAGTCTGCTGATCAGAAACCTTTAGATAAGATACGGACCCCAACTGACACCAAAAAGCATAACGACATGTCTAATCCCGGCTGTTCGCTCAGTAATGTACTAAGATGTGAGTCGTGTGATAACACGCATCCAACTAAACCTATACACTTGAAAATAGTCCTTCTAAAGACACTCCACAAGTTGACTTGAACGAACCTAAATTCATCTCACAGAGACAAGGAAAGACCCCAGCTCTGACAATAAAGGGTGGGAAGACAGGACTCACGATACCGAATAAGGAAACACGTAAGATTGAACCCGACTGCTCTATAGGTATCCCGACAACAGTGAACAGGTCCTCCCCGCTGCTACTATATAACTTGCCATCAACACCACTAAGATGCAAAGCGGGCGGTGGACTCCAGGGTAACAAGCCTTTTTACACGCAGACTAACGAAAACTACCAGAGTACTGGCCACTCCAATCACATCCTGGAGCCTAAAACCATTAATAAGAATGATAATAATAGGTTTCTCACTCCACACCCTATCTACATTCCCCAGGATCACAAGTGTAATTACTCTCAGAAAGAAAACTTTTCACACCGTTTAGTACCAACCCATCACATAAAAACGGCTCCCATGTATAACAGTCTCAACTCCTTCCAGATACGTGCAGCAGACCATCCTCACGCTCACACTAACGTAAACAGCTTTAACAGACACTACAAGCTTAGCAATCAAGACTATTTTGCAAATAATAGTACACTTCACAGCCGGCCTGTACCAGAATGTTTTGAAATACGACCCCTAATGACACCTCTGTTGAAGCATATAGCCCAAGTTGTTTCAAGCAAACATGTCGAACATAAACATGTCTCCTCCGTACAGTTTCCATCAGAGAGTACTCGCACCCCTGCCTCCTGGGTTAATTCCCCAATCAACTTCACCAGCTCATTTGATACATCTCCCACTAGTGCTAGCTATCAAAATACCAAGCTATCGAAGAACATTCAATCCCTCACATTAAACCCATTTCACACCCTCGAGGATCAGGACAACTTCATTCGAGATACTCTCGTCCATTTTAACTTAGTAGGCCATTTGTTTAATATATACCTTATCAACGCTAGGTCGATATGCAATAAAAAGACGGATTTGGCTCTGTTTGTGTCCATATATCAATTATCACTTATAATGATATCTGAAGCATGGACTAACAGTAATATTTCCGACCTAAGTATATCTCTTGATAACTATTTTCTATATAGAAAAGATAGATTGAAAGAACGAGGCGGAGGGTGTCTTATTTACTCTCAATTTAGCCTAAACTCATTATTATGTGATATGCCTGAACTAAACAAACTGAAGAATTCGGTGCGGATTGTTTTGAAACCATCGAATCCCGTTACCTTACTGTTCGGCTGTGTTTATCGTCAACCTGACGCATCAATAGGTGAAATAGCATTATTATCGGAGGTATTCATACTAGCATCATCCCTTCCATTCTCAGGCAAGCTTACTTGTGGTGACTTCAACATCCCCCAAATTTCTCCCTCTCCATTCAAAGCGCCGAAACGTTGTGAACCATTTGCTGTGTGTCCAGAGCTTGGACAGTGGACAGTATGTCAATAGCCCTACCAAACATTAAAATATCTTGGGCTTAACCTTTAACAGTGGCCTCACCTCTAACACTGTGTATATTTGGAAAAACGTGCTGTCAAACTTAATAATAACTCCTCTGCACTCACCATACTCTTTCAAAATAAACTTAAACGTTCTAAATCGTGAGGGAACATATTTATTCAAGACAAACAAGTATACGAAGATTCTTAACTTGATACGGAACTATTAAATGAGCACTTCTGCTTCTGACTAGCGAAAAACAACTTAATGATTCAGAACCAATCGCAGTACCTCCCTGTGAAATTACTAATGTAGACTTCAATGTACAAATTATCTCCAAGGCAATTGGTACATTGAAACACTCCTACACCGATGGACCAGATGGTATTCCATCTAGCATGCTAGAACGTGAAGGTGATGATGTGTGTGTTTCGCTTCTCAAACTATTCGTGATATCACTCTCTACAGCATGTTATCCAACTGCCTGGAAAACTATACATATCATTCCCAAAATTAAAACAGGACCTGAAGCAAATGTTGAAAATTACCGACCCATAAACATAAATTCAGTGGTATCTAGAGTGATGGAAAAAGTAGATAAGGCGGCTGTAGTTCAACATCTACTTACTAATAACCTCACCTCGACTCCCCAGCATGGATTTCTTAGGTCCAGATCATGCGATACATGCCTAGTAGACTGCCTGAATGATATAACTCTGAAACGAGACAACGGACTCCTTGTATTTCCTATTCTTGGACCTTAAGAAAGCCTTTAATAAGGTCCCACACAAAAGGCTACTCGTCAAACTGAAGTCCTTCGGAATAAACAACCCACTGTACTCATGGTTTGCTTCGTTCTTAACAGAACGTAAACAGATGGTAAAGTAAAACCACTGTCTCTCGTGATCTAGACCAATCACCAACGGAGTCATCCAGGGGAGTGTATTAGGTCCACTCTTGTTTCTTATGTATATAACCGATTTATGTAGCATCGTAAAATTTGGGACACCATACTTATATGCTGATGGTCTCAAAATAGTAATAATAATAATAATAATAATAATAATTTATTCTCAAATAACAGTTTATTACATGAGGCATGCCAGTTTACAGGCAAGATCAAATTGATACAAATGATACAATATACACTGTATTAAATTACATAGCTGGGTTGAAAATTTATAAGACATGAATGTAGATTGTTTTAATCAGTACTACAGTTGGCGCGCTCCACGAGAGTTGCGTTGCGAATGTGCGACTGATAGTCAAGAATAGGTCCATTGAAGGTATGAGCTTCTAGAAATCGCAACCTTATGTCTCTTTGGGATATCCAAGGCTTTAAGGATGGTGCAGGATGAAGTAACCTGTTCCATATCTCAAGGGGGCTGAAAGAGGGAGCAAGTAAAAGAAAACACGAGAGACAGAGTAGCCAATATTCATGCAGGGATGTTTAAGGTATGATAACTCAGTCTAATTTTCTTTTATTAAGGTATTTGTTAAAAAAGAGCATTTTAATAGGTTAAAGAAAATAAGCTTTAGCAAGGTGTGACTGGGCATACAACTGACAAATGGAGGCGATTCGGAAAAGAGCTGAGAGTATAAGATTATGTGTGATAATAAAATAAAATATAGT